CTTTCAACATACGCTCTTCCTCTACCATCCACGAAAACTTTGAGTTAGTCTCTCTGTATCGCTTGTCGTCGCTGAAAGTTGTGACTTGTGATCTTTAAATCATGATTCAGATAACAGAGACGGCTTCGAACGCGATGTCTCATCTCGCTCCAGCGCTACATGTACACATGTATTGTCAGTTGAGGGTTCTCAAACCAGAATAAGTAGTAAGAGCGAGCTTCTATCTACTGACACCCGAACTCCTGCTATGACATGGAATTCCCAAAACCCAGGTTGGAGCGCGAACCGATCGGTATATGCTCCGAGTGGGGTCATGACCCCCGATCAACGGGCGGCATCCGCGGCCCCACACGCCGACAGTTTGATTCGGAGCGAGGATCGCCTCGACATGCCAGCTATGTGTCAATATTCATTTGTGCAGTCTTTTGATCCTGTGAAAATCATGTACAGTGTATTTACTCATGAGTGTAACATAGATACCAACCTGAATCTTGATTCTAAACATTAAGTCTCCCCCCCCCCACCCCACCATGTCTTACAGGTCCTAACTATAACTGGGACCAGTGTCCTAGATCCAGAGCGTCTTGATTTCAGGTAAGTTCTTAGTTCTTCACCACAATTTGTTCAGAATGAACCGTCCTCACGGTTTCAAACTCAATTGCCTGGCCCTCTTCAGGAGTGGTAGCCCGCTTGCCACGATTTTGGGCCATCTCTTGACCCATAGCAGACTGGATATGGTTCGTCATATATGCCGTGGGGTCTTCGATAAATAAAGAACAGATCAAGGCAATGACGCTGAAGGGAATCGTAATGTAGAAGACGATCTTCAAAGCATGGCCTGCGCCCTCTCGTACGGCCTCTCTCAGAGCATCTTGAATCTCTGGAGTGATGCCCGGAACATTGACCAATGCTCGAGGGTTGCCCAAGTTAAACTCGATTGCCGCAGGAATGATGATACCAAGGTCAGATGGATTCAACCCATTGCTGATAGCCGCATTGGCGATTTCTTCGCCAGCGAATTCACGGAATTTTTCTTGAAAGATTGTGTTGAAGATGGCGTTGCCGACGGCGCCACCTCCTGATCTGAAGGTACCCAACAAGCCCATTGCCACTCCCAGGTTTGAGTGCGGAACGTGAAGACTAGCAACAGCATAAGACAAGATAGTAACCCAGACGAACATGGGTACACCAAAAGCAGGGACGAAAGCATATGCAAACTTGTGGTTCGGGTAAACAGTCGCAGCACTAGCGCCGATAAACAGTGCCTGGAATGCCATGCCGATGACAAGCTGCCACTTGATGTAGCCAACTTTGTGGGCGATGAGGGGTGCAAGAACACCGGTGAAGCCAATCATCAAGGTGTTGGGAAGTGAGAGCGCACCGATCTCAATGCCATCCGTTGTAAACATGTAGAGGAATCCTTGAGGCAGGAGGGCTGACATTGAGTTGAAGTTCATACCCGAGACGAAGAGGACAACAAGGAGGACGGAGTAACGACGGAACATGACAAAGAGCTTCAGCGGAAACATCGGATGAGCAGCAACCTTGAAGTCGTACGCAAAGCCGACGGCTAAGACCGCGAAGCCAATGACGATGGGTGCGATGGCGCCGGCGCTATTCCAAGGGTAGGCAGGGGTGCCACCCCATGTCAGGCCGATGAGAGCAACGGCCAGACCGGCCGTGAACAAGAACAGGCCGATCCAGTCTACATCCCTGAGTTGCTGCATGCGAGTCTTGTCAAAGTCGCCCCGGGGCCGCGGGGTTGGGTGGTAGGAAAACCAAGTGCCGACGATGGAGATAACCTCGATGATGATGCTAAGGCCGAATATCCATCTCCACGAAGCGTACTTAAAAAACGCATTGCCGAGTAAGACAGAGAGGATGCCCCTGTGAATTCTAAATGTCAGCTACCTTGGCTCTTTCTCGGCAGACGAACACCCCAGGTTTTGATCGATTAGTCGAAGTGCGGGGGTTCCCCACGTTCAGATCTGTGAAGGAGGTGCGGTCGGCAGGGCGCCTGGAGTCGGCACCCAGATATATGTGCCGAGGATTTGGGGTAAGAAAGAAAGTTCCTTGACTCGGGGAGTCGTTCGAACCATGCGACACGGAATACGGGAAAAAAAGGGTCAGATGCTCAGATGTTCAGACTTACCAGGGAACAGCGATGCCAGATTCCAAGATACCAAGACCAAGAGAACGCCACTTGTTAGGCAGCATCTCCGGAACACCTGCGTAGGAGACGAAAACGAAGCCAGTCCCGATGCCGATGAGCGTCTCAGCGGCAATGAGTGTTCCGATATTCTGTGCAGCCACCGCAGCGATGGAGCCGATGACAACTGTGACTTGGCCACCAATGACCAACATCCTCCGGCCAAAAACATCGCTGAGAGGTCCCGCGAGGGAGAAGGAGCATGCTGTCGAAAGAGACCATGCTCCTACAAGCCAGGCCAACTGGTCCTGGCCACCGAACTCTGTAGCAATTTGCACGACGACCGCGGCAACCGTGAGGAATGCGAGTCCAACACATGGACCGAAGGACAGAGCCATAGACTAAGTGTGTCAGCTGAGATACACCAGGAAAGCTGCAGAGACGAAATGGCCTTACAAAAATTGCGATCCATGTCTTGATGCCAACTTTTGCTTCGGACGGGTTATCCTCAAGCGCTGCACGATGAGGATCCTCTTCAAACTCGATGACAGCTTTGGCCTCCTGGGCCATCCGTATCTTCATCTCTCGGTCTCGGCCCATGTTGGATGATTCGTTATAAGACATGTTGAAGTTGCTAAAAGAGACTGAACTCTTGAAAAGCTGAGAAAAACCGGCTTGCTTCTGTTCAATAGTAGTTCAGAAACGTGGCGATTGGAATTTCAAAGGTTCATCTCGAAGAAGCCGCGACATGGCACGGGCTATTCATATACAGATTTGGACACAGAGTATCCGAGCTTTGGTCCGAGCGGGGGAACACTTCAGAAGCTTAACAACAAGCAGCAATGCTGATTGAACTTTTGAAGAGACGTCGCCGTGTGATTGGAGTAACGTCGAGTGTGCCATCGAGAAGGGTACGGGACCGGGGTTGATCCCCTTATTTCGATGCAACCTGGCGGGGGTTAAGCTGTTCTTGATTAGCGCGACGACGTCGATGTGGGAGGGGAGGGGTCGGCAGATACGACTACTGCAAAACCTCGACTGTTACATGAAAACCTTCTTGCATTAAGGTTTCTTGTCGGAGACGGCAGCCGCTCTTGATAATAGATAGTTTCACTGGGTTTCTTGGTTCGGCTGGAAATGGGATCGCATAGCTTGTATGGTGTTCCATTGGACAATGTTGCGTTGAAAGTTGTCCGCTTTTGGTCATATTCACCATGAAAGTTGGATAGAATTCGACTTCTTTGGGCTGTGTCATCCCGTCTCTCCCGAGGTGCAGATTGCGTATTTGCCAGATGAGTACCTACTCAATTAGTTACCGCTGTCTACACCGTATCGCTGATGTAAGACGGGAAGATCCATAAACCATAGACAAGAATGGTTGCGTCTGTTGACTGAATCAGTCACTCATATGCCAATGGCAGCCTGACCTATGCGAGTGTGCTAGGAATTCTTGGAGACAATCTTGTATAGTCTTGTAATACAGTCTTCCGGCAAGGATTTGGCGTAGACCCAGCTGACTGCCGTTGCTGTAAGAAAGTGGACACTTTGCCTCAAAGAAATCTTACGAGGACCAGCCTTGCCGAGACTCCAACTAGTTTGGCTGTGCAACTAGTATCAGTCATCAGTACGTTTCAACGAGAACGCGATCTCTGCTTCAAAACTGCCGGGTACTAAGAAGGCCAAGTCGACGGAGCTGGAGGTTTGCCAGGAATTGACTCCTGTTGCCAACAATGCATTGAGCAGCTTCATAAATTCCAAAAGTAACGCTGTATGGCATAGCTTTGTCGACTGAATAAGAGTCGTCGAAGGTCCTCGGCTGACCTGTTCTTATCTGGCATGCCTGACCACCTCCTCGGCAAACTTGCTGACTGCAAGCACCATGAGCCTGCGTTGTCAGGAATCAAAATGGATTAAACAACAGCGGCATCAGTGTAGTTGCCTTTCCGTAGATGCCAATAACGTTACCGGCTGCAGTACTATAGATACTTGTTGTCGCAGGGGTGGCTGTCCGATTAGGTGGTGCCAGTTGTCCCAGCACATCAGAGCAGCTACCCAGTTTTGTCTGAGAGTACGCGTGTTCTACTAAAGCTTAATTCCCTACAGGTACAAAGAAACTGGTCGAAATTATAATATCAAATGACACTCATCTCAACGCATACCTTTGGTGTGTAACAAAGAACTTTTGCACTCGAATACGATTACAAGATATTTATAAAGAAGATGACGGAGAAGATACGACATGTAGCTGTTTGCCCATGACGGTATTGAGCCAGGCCGGAGAAGACGAGAGATCATCAGATTCTACAGGCTCATCGATGAAAGCCCCTGGCTGCGGTGATTTCGGAAAAGAAAAGGGAATGCACATAGCTTGTATTGCGCATTCTCCCAAAACGCGTCACAACTCGCGGATGCAACGTTGATATTGTCGGGCATTCAGTATGGGCGGGGCTGCAAGATTGTCATCGTCATGGTAAGGCACGAAAGCTGGGGAAGCAACTCCTAGGCGGCCAGGAGGGGGTAACTTAATTGCAAAAGAGGGCGAAAATTTCAACATTGGCCTCAGTTTTCGACGGGATGCTTTGAGGTACGCCGGGAGCAGATCCAGCGCTGAGTGCGGCGAGGGTGAGTTAATTCTAGCCAAGCCTTTCTTTTTTGTTATCTAAACATGTCCACTCCAGAAGATACTTGTTCATACACTTTCTTTTAGGTGATTGAGGGTGTACCTCCCGGTGAGCCTTTGTTCGGCATCCGGTGATTCACGGCGGTGGAGCAAATTCCATCCGGTCTCCCGGCCCCACTGCACCATCTCGCCCCGCCGGCCGGCCAGGTACCTCGTGCCTTCCTAGTCAGGTGACAGGACATTTAGTCAAATGGTTAAGCTGAGCATGAGAACATTGAATGTTGATTGATGTTATTCTATGGGTCTGGGGTTCGAGACTACTTCTCGTAGAGCCTTTTTCTAAGAACTTCAGTTGCTGTTCTCTGGGTCTTCGATGTGTCTCCGAGGCCGGCCCCGACTAGATACGTCGGTTTTGTAATGACCACCTCTACCCATCGAAGTCAACGTATCTCCTCTGCTTCTTCTTGCCAGCGGATCGCAGTGGCATAGCCACAACTGCCGATGCCTTCGGTGGACCCTGGAGCACGGGAGGGCATACTGATCTTTTCTTGCCTTCTAGTTCAACCTCCTCGATGAAGGTTGTAGCCAATGCATCGTCTTTCAAGATTTTTGATGAGGTCGCAAGATATACCTGCTTGAACTTGCGCCATAGCTTTGCCTCAGTAGTGTGCGAGTCTTCTTCCATAGTCGGCCTGGGATAGTACGGATCATTGTCCCAGAACCCTCTCACTGCTCTTGCTACTCCTTTGCTGTCCATTGTGATCTCTCCGACCTGATTAAAGTCTAAAAGCCACATCTGCACAGCCTTTCTCTGAGACTCAGATCCTTCGATAGGTTCCCGGGTGGTCTTCACTGATGCCCACTCTGCGGTTCGAGTTGTTGGTGTTGTCGATGAGGCGAGAACGAACTCGACGTCGAAGGCATCGTGCTTGGTTTCCCAATGCATGGCTGCTAAGGCTTCTGCCATTGGTGCCACATATTGAAGTGGATCGATGTTTAGGATCTCCATCTTATCCAAGGTCATTTCGAAGTTGCGCAGTTCGAATCCTCCCTCGACTCCGGTATTCTGTCGACGCCGGCCCAGATACAATCGAGCAAGACAGTTGTTGTTTCTTCGCATGACATGAGCTGCCACTCTCTGCTCTATGGGACAGAATACTTCGATGAGGGCTCTGCGGACCTCTAGAGGTAGTGCCGGGATTCTCTCAGATACGAGGACCGCCATGTTCCTGCTGACGAGGGTTCGGCTATCCGGAAGCTTGCCCGATTCTCTGTGTTCATTGTACCACTCGCCGAGCTGTTCAGGTCTGATGAATTCCGCTGGACGGGGAATGCAGACTTGTAACGCAAGATGCAGGCTGGCGGCATAGACCTTCTGATGTGAGACATAGTCGACCAGTAGTTCTGGAAATTTTCTCAGCTCTTTCGCCTGTTTGATAACTTGACCGGTGCTCCCAAAGTCGTATATGGTAGCGCAAAATCCTTCTCCGATGTGTTCGAGTTCCTCGGTTCGTCTCTCAGCAACCTGTCTTTCTTGCAATCTCAGAAGTGACTCAGGATCCAGTTGTGTTGAAAGTGAGAGGTAGGAGGTCAGTGTCTCAATTGCTTGTTGACGCTTGGTGTGACCAGTAATCTCATAGCTCGGTTCATCGTTGGTTTTTATTGAGCTATCCATGATGGAATGAGAGATTCGGAAGAAAGTCAAATTAAGACCGAGGTGGCTAATTCTGGAAGTTGTAAGGTAGGTAAAGTACCTTAGTCAATCAAGTGAATGAGCTTGACCGCTAAATAATCTGTTGAGAAGGGAATATTTATACATGTTTGAGAAAGGTTCGGAGATAGAGACACTTAGCATCAAAAATGTGGCGTGCGCAGCTCTATGGTAGGCTCGAACCTTGGTTGCAAAGTCCTACATCAAGGTTCTCAAGCAAGTGTGCAAGGTGGCTATTTCTATAGTCAAGCTTCTCAGAAAATGGTTCAACTGCAAGATTGGTTGCCCCTGCCTTCGATAATACCAGAGGACACGCGCGTGGTCCTGGGTCCCGACGACTTGAGACCCTTTCATAACCCATCATGAACTGTTGTTCAGACGCCTTGTGCATCTTCTAGAAGGAGGTCCGTCTGCAAGTTTGTTCCGGCCGTGCCAATGTTCGGCCGGTGAGTCACCCGGCATGCTCCACACCCCGGGCCCGGATCAATCTGCACTCGGTAACGGCCGAAGGGCGACCAACCAAAAAGTGGTTGGCGCGATAATCCTCCGCGACACTAAGCATCTCAGTCGCTTAAGCCTCACGCCTCGCATAAAACCCCCAACGTCAGCACGCGTTGAATGCCCCGAGAGTTCCCATTATCAAACTTCACGTCGCATCTTGGTCGATCAAGGACTGTGCCGCGCCTATCTCAATGGCACCAGAATCGTCAATGCACATCCGGCCAGCGACCACGGTAGACGCAGATGCCATCGCCGCCGTACATTATGCAGCCCTCGAGCAGTTTCACGACTTCTATGGAGCTTTCTTCGAGCGCCATCCGAGGGATATCCTCCCACTTTCAACGCGACTCGCTTTGAAGAATCCCAAAAACCATTTCCTGGTTGTTGTCGCACCCGACACAGATGCCGTCGTGGGTTTCATCAGATACCACGTCGTCGATGCGACAGAGCCGCCTGCTGCAACCACACTGGAGAAGCCCACGGAAAGTGCGGATACCGAACCCACCGTGCCGTCCATTTTCGCAATCAAACCTCATATGAAAGATTTGTGGGAGCGCTTCGGCCACCAAAGAGAGGAAGAGATGGATGAATGTTACGAAAAGGCAGTAGATGGACGGAAACATAATTGTAAGCACTCCGGAACGAGCACCGTCCAGAAAATGATCGGGCCGCCAACCTAGTGTTGACGAGAGTGCCAAGAGTGCTGACATCGCTACCAGATGTGAAGAACATAATGGTGGACCCTCATCATCAAAGAAAGGGCATTGGAGCAAAGTTGCTCCAGTCAGTCATCGATATCAGTGATGCTAAGAAGATTCCGACTTTCCTTGTTGCTTCGGCTGAAGGATATGGACTGTACAAGAAGTTGGGCTTTGAGGACCTTGGAACCTGGACCATCGATAACGACTACTGGTCTAAGGAAATTGCTCGACATGAGGGCGAGCTTGGAATCATGGGCAATGAGGGCTTGGCGCAAACGTATCGGGAGACACATGAGGTCGAGAAGTACATGATGAGATGGATCATTGCTTCTCAATGATCCGGTAGCCTTATCCGCTGCCTTCATAAAGTTGGAACGCGAATTGAGAATAGATGGGCGCTACTCTGAGTATTGAGACTGGCAAGCAAGTAATACTGTTTCGCCAGAAAATGTAATTACCATTGGTAGCATGATCATGGCAATCTCTGCCTAGGATTGCGAAAGATGCACAGCCTTATCTACCACTGGGCTTTCCATCGATCAGAAGGACTGTATTCTGCTGATTTCTTGCCTTTAAAGGTACTTAGTCTTGTCTTTAAATAAGCTAGCATTTCCTTTGCTGGGTGGGTTGCGCTGCTGGTATATTTGTAGCTGTAGGCGGTCCGTCCCTTCTGCTTGGCGCAGAGCTGGATGCTTGCGAGAACAACCTCTGAGCTCTAAATGGCGGGTGACGGCTACCAATATCGAGTAACAATCTGTGATGCAAACCTAATCCGTCCCGCTATTTCCATCATTGCATTGGAGTCACCTGATGTCCCGTGAGTCGTTACATGGACGGATACATGAAAGTGGTGCTTGCGGGCCTTCTGACTTAATGGTCGAATTGGACTTCCACATGCCGGCGATAGTAAGGTAGAAAACCACGGCTGAAGAGGCTAAGGGCATGGTATTATGGTGTGGTTAGCAGAAAATACAGATCTGCGGAGCGATATTATGCCGGAATGAGGGGGCCTCGCAATCCAAACGCGAGTTGGAGCCGGTAGCGACGGCCTCTTACGGGAATCCGAGACCGAAGCTTCCAAATCCACCATGAGTAGGGTATTCCACACGTTGCGACTCGTACGCAGCGATTTTCTCCCCTGTTTCACTTGTCGATACTTTCGTTGTAAATATAGGCACTGTACATATATTATTACAATAATTACAGAGCCTGAACAACTTAACTTTATTCACTTAGATGAAGGGCAAGGCTTAGCGACACGGGTTCGCCCCGCGATCATTTCCACGATTCGACCTATTTCTAGGATTAGCCCTCTCGGTCGGGATGAACTCGCCGTATTGCGGCCACACTCACTAAAAAGTAAAAGGCGGGGAAAGTACGCGCTGAAGAACTCTCACACACCTAGGCTCAGCCAACCCAGCGCAAAAAACATGGGAGGCCAATCGCTCCAGCCCCACCAATGCGATTCATGCCTCCCGGAACACCCTACCGCCTGAACCAGAAGCGGTGGTTGAAAGGAGCTATCCGTACTCCGTACATCATTCAGTATGCTTCCCCCGTGAAACTAGGACATGAAGCTCATAAGTTATACTTTGCGATTCTCGTGATGACTTAGATTGCTACTCCTCTTGGCATTCTGAGGTCGCCTCGGACTCTTCAGCTCATATCCAAGTCCACATATATAAAAGGATAGTTACTCCCACTGAAGAGCGTCCCTTACTCCAACCCACTATCAAAAGTCATCAAATTACATCACAGTCATTATCGCAACTATGCAATTCCTCAACGCAGTCCTCGTCTTTGCCTCGCTCGCAGTTGCTGCGCCCGCCGTGGATGTGGCCGCCGCCCCTATTGAGGCGAGAGCGGCTCCTAGCCCGTGCTACTCGAACCAGAAGTTGACCTGGAACACGGGCCAGATCCCCGGTAGCGGTGGATGGATTGTACGCCCGGCTTCCAATCTCCTATAGGAGCTACCATGCAGACCCTGTACTAATGACTCTATTATTCCAGTGCTATGAAACCCCCTCCGGCCCCTGCACCAAGTACTCGTGGAAGACCGACCTTCCCTACTACAGCGTACGAAAAATTTCGTTTTTATAACTTCTCGCACGGCCGCTAACTTTGATCGCTTTCCTAGTGCACCTAAGCTGATTGCCCTCTACCTTGTGTGGCGGAATGGGCGGTCAACCCTGAATCTTCTGGTCGCACCATGAGCTTGTAAATACAAGATACCAACTAGTGCTCAGATTCCACTCTAGGTTGTCATGCCGCATTCACTATGTTGTACAAATACTTTGAGGGGTCCCACGATCGGTGGCTTGGAAATGTCCTCCCCGTGTAACATTATATAAGCGATGAATTCATCTATTATCCCACGGTGCAATACTTCTCACAGACTAATTATCTCGAGTGCCACCCCAGAAGTACAAAAGAAAATCATCATAGGAGCGACCTTTCACTAGTCGGTGAGCATGGATGAGTACATGTATTGCGTCTATATTTGGGACGAAGCAATCCAGCTCAGGCCAGTCCCCATTGCGTTGAGCCCCCTAGAAACATCCCAGTAGCAAACTTGGTAATGAATCTCTGCCTCTTGTTAAGGAAGTCCACGACACGGCGTAATCTACGGGAGCAGGTGGATGCAGGAGGTTGGTAATGACAGCCACATCGCACATCACACGAGACGAACCGCGCCGGATCAGGCCTTGGCACGATGGCGGTACTGGGGGTCTCAGATAGTGCTTTACAGACCGAACACTTCTATCGACTTCTAAGATTAAGTTTCAGAAAGTGAACTTCTCAAATAGTCACCACGGGACATCCGCGGACGATACTTGTGTCGAGTCCGTATTTATCAAAGTGTTCTGGACAATCGCGAGACATAGAAAGGCTAGGTTTCAGTTGCACCTTGTTCCTAAATTGATGAAAGAATCTTTCTGCTGATGTCGAACATTCGATATGGCAACCCCAAGGGGCACGTTTCCAGTTTCTGAAAGTATCCAGTAAGAGATAAGCTCGATCCATGATATCTGAATTGAAACCTTTTGGCTCGATACATGAAGTAGTATTGGTAGAAACGAGAGAAGAATGTCAGGGTTGTTAAAAGCTGGGGGATGGCAAGGTCTTCTTCATTTTGGCCGCCGCAATCTGACTCAACAGCCAAGAAATGATCCACCTTACCAGTGCAGGCACTAACGCAAATAGTGAAGATGACCAATGCCTTTGTCCCATGGCAGTAGTGCGTTGCAGGCCCGCGCAACGGAAGCACACAATTAAGGTAGGCTAGAGTGCGGATAGCTCCGTCCCTGTTCTCGTTTTGGGCACCTTGTCGGGGCTTGCCCCTCCAAGACTGGGCCCATGATCCGGATGTAATGACTTTCGCCGTCGCTGTCACCCTGGAGTCGGTGATAACCACCATGGAAATAACCGAATCCGCGTTTCTCCTCAGATATTGATCCTTAGTCCATTAAGTGGATGAAGATCAGGTGGCTGAGAGCCATTGCTATAAGATGAGCCTCCTCCATGTCATGACTTTATAGCCGCGAGACATTGAGACCTCGCCACTTGTCATTCTTACAGCTAACTTTACACTAACCCCGAAGGATTAATAAAACATGGCACGTGTGCTCCTTACCGGTGGCAGCGGCTTCATCGCTATGCACATTATCAAGGTGCTACTGGAGCAAGGGTAGGCTCTCTTCCAGAGACTCGAGCGATTGACCAGACCTCACTGACATAAGGCTAGCCACTCAGTAATTACGACTGTGCGGAGCCAGGCCAAGGCAGATATCATCAGTCAGTCATTCTCTGGATATTCGCCCGATAAGTTAGGCTTTGTCTTCGTTCCCGACGTTGGACAACTTGGGGCCTTTGACGAGGCCGTCCGATCTGACCCCCCATTCGACGCCGTCATACACACTGCGAGCCCCGTCACATACGAAGTCAAAAACATTCAGGCAGACTTGATCAGCCCAGCTGTTGATGGGACCACCAATATTCTTCAAGCTATCAAGGCGGGAGCCCCGACGGTCAAGCGAGTGGTACGGACCAACTCTTATCCAGGCACGTTGCAATAGCGGCTGATTCGTCTCAGGTGATCACGGGGTCCTTTGTCTCTATGTTGGATATGTCAAAGGGTCTTTGGCCCGGCCATACGTACGACGAGACAGACTGGAACCCCATCACGGCCGAGGAAGCACTGGAGAATCCAGCTAGCGGCTACGCAGGTAAGCTAACTCCGACCTAGAGCTCACAGTCCGCACATATGCCCCTAACGAGATACCGCAGCAAGCAAAACGTTCGCAGAGAAGGCGGCGTGGAACTTTCAGAGTGAAGAGTCTCCGGGCTTCACGCTGTCTGTCATTTTGCCCCCTCTTGTTTTCGGTCCGGTGTTGCAGCGTCTGAACAATCTGGACTCCCTCAACGAGTCAAACCAGTTCATAAGAAGCTTTTTCAACGGATCGATGGACACCGCAATACCCACTGCCGAGGTTAACCTTCCCATATTACCCTAATCCACTAGGAAGTATGCTTATGTCTACTAGTATCCCGTTTTTGCCGACGTCCGTGATATAGCTTTGGCCCACGTACGGGCCATGGAAGAGCCCGAGGCGGGAAACAAACGCTTCTTCGTCGCCAACGGCCACTATTCGAACCGTGATATTATCGGCATAATTCGCGAAAGATCTGCCAAATATCGTCACAGTCTGCCATCGGAACATTTGCCAGGTGGTGGTAAGTGCTTTGGTAACACAGGCTCCGTAATAATCACAACTACTGACAACAGGATAGAATTGCCAGAAGACGTGTTTGCTATCAACACCCAACGTTCTGTGAACATTCTAGGAATGGAGTATCGGACTTTGGAGGACTGTATTGCCGACACTGTCGAATCTTTCGGGGCCGTAGAGTCGCGAGACACCTAGGCAAGGACGGAAGAGTACAAGCAGGCGTGGGAAAAACTGTACGAGCCCGGCACAGGAAGCTGGATGACCGATCGTTAACTTTCAGGGTCATGGTTCACTCGTTGAATAGGGTTTTAGATCGCTCGTATGCTTCGGAAATTTGGGCCGCTATCATGCCTAAGCTTATTCAACCACAAGGTTCAAACTGTTCCCAACAACACCCAAGCGTGAAATAAGAGTCAATATCATTGCATCGCCCATTCGAATGGGAAATCCATGGCAAGCACAGGAAATCTCAACAGCCTACGAAAGCCGTTCGACAAGGTACGTCATGGATGTGAGTCAATAGAATGTACGCAGATCTCCAGTGAAGACCGTAGGTTATGCCAATGGCTTTGCTGAGGATATAATGCCGAACCCGAAAGTAAAGCAAGCAGTTCCGAAGTTAAGCTCACTGGACGCGCCTGTCATATGCTCAGTCTATCAGATGATCCATGCATCATGTACACTTTGACTACAGCACACGTGATGCGGATCCCTCTGCAGCTGCTCTTCTAGAACTCAATTAAATACGATGGAAACGAAATCATCAGCATCGCGTGACGTTTCAATTTGGGCAATGCGGATTGATTGCAGCGTTGCTCGTGCATATTGAGAAATAGGCCTCTCGCTGTTTTCTGCCTCCATGTTGTGAGTGGTCCTGATTCATTTGTGTTCTCGGGCCGAACCGTGCAGATTGACAAACACTCGAGTCGGGGGAGTCAACGGGGATGAATTGCAAACACACATAGCGTCATGTACACATGGCTCGATTCACAAGCAATCAAAAATCTTGCATAGTGTTTTTGTGGTCCAATTCGCTGCTTTTCAGATCATCTCGTCTGGCGAAACGTGAGCGCAGGCGACCATGTCTGTGAGCTGTCAGTGGGCACTATCCGCATTTTCGGTTTCCTGCCGATTTTTAGGACACCATAAGTTCTGAATTATGATGATACGAAAACTTGGGTAAGATTTCTATGGTCTATGCCTTAAGTCGTCCCGAGAAGGCCTCTCAAAGGAATTTGTCGGGTACTGCGAAGCTAGGAACATCCTCTCCAAACTTCATCCAGATGTAGGTAAGAAACTTTACTTAGAAGGGTGGATAGACATACTATCCCAATGAAAGAGGAAGTCTTCCGAAAATTGTCCTCCAATCAGGTAACAATAAACATACGCAACGGGCTAGATGTCAATGTACAATCCTAGCCCCAATGGTGATGTTTAGTACAAAGTTACACCTCGGTCGATACTCTTACCCTTAGCCTTCTGAATGCTAGGATATAGTGGATGGCTTGTAGCAAATAAGATAAAATGAGATGTTGCGAAGAAAATCTTCGAAGCCTTTCGTTACAAGCTCTTTGATGATTAATTGTCATTCTCCTAGATCAAAGGGCCAAACCTTGCGGTCAAGTCGGGAAGCCTTCCCCGATGTCTAAGCTCGGAAGATGGCTTCATTGGTGGCTTGGACATCACGGCGTTCCCGAACAACTCGGAAGAGACCGTTGCCGTTGGGGAATACCATTTGAATTCACAAAATCTGATCTGAACACAACGTAAGCCGACCCATTACCAACGGCTGTAGCACGCAAGGTACCGGCCGAGATTAGCGGGGAGACTGTGCGCGTCTCGACTCAAGGTGCTCTGAAAGATGAATTAACCATGCATAGAACTATGCATGGAAGCTCATGTAGGGAGTTCCAATGTGAGAAAACGACGTCACTCGGGCTTTCGCGGGGACATGTATACCAACCCATGATGGCGGTCGAAAACCCCCTGTGCGGCGTGCTCGTACCCGCCGAGGAAATCTTGAAATATATCGGATTACAGAAGCTTTTCATACTGCGCGGACGGGCGGCGAACAAATCTTTGATAGAAAACCGGTCTGTCAAGTGACGTTGAGACTGGACGAACGGCTTTTAGTTCCCAACTGTCCGTGGTCGTAGAACCCAGAGGCGTGGCCCCAGCGTCCACAGTCTCGCAAATAGGTGGTGGACTGTCACGCTATGGGCTGCCTATGAATACTGTTCTTCGAGGATAATTGCCCAGCTCAGCAACGGCCCTCACGGAGAAGCCGGGGCCAAGTGACCGTGAGCCTTGGAACTTTGTCGAATTCGCGAACCGTAACACGGAGGCTCCGTGGGGCGGCCGGTGCTCTCTGGTTGAGTTCCTCAGCCAGTTGGACCACCGACAACCTTTGAAAGGCGTGTTGAGACGACTGATTCTGTCGTCACCGCGGCTTTTATACACTTTGTAGCTTCCAAAGAGTCGTGATCTGTATGTTATCTTGTCGTAAAGCATCTGGAAAGGATTCCTATAAGATCCAGACGAGCTTCCACCTCAAATTAGTTCTTCTTTCCTCATCATCCAACACACTTCACACTTCAACCTCTCTTTCGCAATCATCTTCAACTTCTCACATCGACTGCGAGATACTTCAAGATGAAGTTTCTCAACGCTTTTCTCACGTTGTCGGTCCTGGCGGTCAGCATCGACGCCCTTCCGGTCTCGGTAACCAAGGAAGAGGATGTCCAGACTTTCCAGTGAGTAATCGCTTCAACACTTATGCTGTGTCTTCTAACTAATATCACTTCAGTGACATGTCTCTGCACGACACCGGCATCATAGCCCGCCAAGCCCAACCTCCTCAGCCTCCTCCATCAGCCTTGATTCCCGACGCAACACCTGAAGATGAAATGGATGAATTCGAAGAAGTGGAGGAAGTTGACGACGTCACGAATCCAGGCGAGGTCGAAGCTGAGGGCAAGAAAAAGAAGAAGAAGAAGAAGAAGAAGGGCAAGAAGAAGGGCAAGAAGGAGAAGAAGCCCGAGAAGCCGGATGCCATCCCGGCTGCTGGAGCTCAACCTCCCGCTGCCGGTGCACAACCTGTGCCCGCAGCTGGCGCCCAGCCCGTCCCCGCTGCCGGTGCCGCTCCGGCTGCGGCCCCAGCCAAGGCTCCTGCCCCCGGAGTACCTGCAGCCGCTGCTCCCCCACCTGCCCCGGCGCCGGCGGCTCCTCGCTCGGTTGCCAAGGCATTCAAGGCCTAGTCGCATCTCGATATTGAGAAATATCAGTTAGTTGGAGTTTGGAGAACCGGTGCTATATTGGAGGATATGGGTGCTGATAGTTGCTGGATTCAACATTAGGGCTTTTTGGTAAAGGTTTCTTTGGCTTTCTTCTTTAGTCATGTCATGCTGTTTGATACAGTATTGCCATTTAATAATTGTACAAAAGTTCTTTCTCTCAATGTTCACCTCACTTAGTCAACTGTTAGTGTCCTTGTGAGTTTATTAGTGCTTGTGAACTTTGCAATGAAAAGATCATCACGAGCGAATGGTCATCAGACATGTAAGGACTTCTCTTAAAGCTTTGGAAAGTCGAGGGCAAATTTCTGCTTGAATAGAGACTTGTTGCAATCTTCAAACCTGATAAGTCACAATAGGAACGAAGTGCATGTAATTTTCACAGTCATTTTGGAGGAGTCTAGAAACAAATATTTTGCAATTGAAATAGTGCAGTTGTTTGATGATCGCGCTCAGTAAGATCAAACTACTACAGTTGAATGCTATGTTGAAGATGTTACTCTCCAGCTCTGAGATGACTCGTGTATAAGACGGAAATGCGGATAACACTTTTCCGCGTGGAACCAGTGGCTCTATCTCGTTGCATCAAACACCGAACGCTGACGTCCAAAACAAGTCCAAAGATAGTGAGATAGTGCCAAGATGTGGGCCATCTACGTAATCCACACTATGCCGCGGGGTTACCTCTTGCGGTCCAACCACTGACGACGGATCCAAGTGCCAAACCAGGCGCCTTTGGCCCGGCAGTCAGCAAAATACCGCGGATCAAGTTGAGAGCCTGTGTTCCGAGGAGTAGCGGTAGCTTCAGTCTTTGTGCCTCATCGATCGCCTCCTGAAGGTCGTACGATATTGTCTGAAGCAGACTTTCGTTGCCAGAGGCAGCCCAATCGTATGTAGACCTGCCGGCCGCGATGGCATCTACAATGCGCCGACCCTCGCCTGAAAGCATGGAGCTACCACCAGCAGCATTAATGCAGAGCGCAAAGACCTGCTCCAAATCCAGACCAACAAAGCGTGCAAAAGCAATTGCCTCGGCTGCCGCACAAAGATGGATACCACGGAGAAGGTTAACGACGAGGCTCAGCTTGCCTTCTTCGGACGTAACGGTAGGCTTGACCGGTCCAACCTTTCCCGCTCCTTCGATGTATAGTCGGATGAGACTGGCATCGTCGTCCGGGCCGTAGCCTTTACCCAGGGCGGCGAAATAGGCCTGCTCCGCCGTAGAGGTCATCGGAGTGGGGAATCCGGCCCGGCGCGCCTCTGAAGTAATGATGCTGGTGTCTTTGAGAATGATCGTTACCGCACTGGCCAGAGGTCCGAATTGAGCGTCCAGCATGCGTGGTAGCCGGTTCTCAAACATCCAGCTCCAACCCTCTGACTTCATGATCGTTTCGCCAGTACTTGGGAGATCCAAGCCAAGGTGCGTTGCAAAGCCCAGAGCTTCGCTCGACGAGAGGATCTGGTTGGCTGCGAGTACCTGATGGCACATCTTCATATTGCTTCCAGCGCCGATGCCGCCCTTGACGATGTAAAGCTTCTCAGGATCCGACATAGCCTGTAATAGGTGAAGGCCCCTTCGGATAGCTTCCTCTTCTGCACCTGCCATGATCGATAGAGTACCGGCCGCAGCCCTGGCAGCACCTCCGGACACCGGGCAATCCACCAGAGCAATATCACCTCGATTTCTTGCAACCAGCTCTTTCTGAAGACCTTGCACATAAGCACACGGAACTGTCGAGCATAGCAGCACCACCGCTCCTTGTTGAAGGGCCGATAGGGCCGGAGCGTCGCCTTCAAACAAGACGCCTTGCGCCTGTTCCGCTGTGGCCACCATAACAACACAGAATTCCTTGCCCGTGACAGCTTCGGCTGGACTTGTCGCTGTGAGGCCTCCTGCTGCCTTAAACTTGTCCAGAGTCGGCCCATAAACATCAAATCCTGTGACCGGATATCCAAGACGGACAAGATTAGTCGCCATTCCAAACCCCATCGCCCCAAGGCCGATGAAGGCCGTGGGCTGCTTGCTTGGGTCCATTGCGTGTTCGACGGAGGGTAATACGTTGCGTGTATGTGTTTGAGAATGTCTGAGAGTAGAGTCGAGACCAGTTTGATGAGCCAAGGATGCTGATGGGGGTAACGGATTCTTGCAATCCGGGACTGGAGACATGACCCCCAAAGGTTAAGTACTAGCAGGAAGAGCAGACAGCTTAGTGACCGCGAATGAGAGATGACCTCGGATCCAGGTAACCCGTTTATTCGGTAGAGGTCGGTAGCTCGGGGTGACGATGGCCTTTTCCCGAACCGAATACTGCTCCGATTTCACTCCGTAACCACGGCTCGCGCGGAAAATCGGCCCATTTCCGCCCCAGTCCTGGATTCCCCCGCAATCCACATCACAGATCGACAACAGTTGCGAATCTACCTTCTCTAGTTGCTTCATCGTTGGAACTTGAATATAAGGCCATTTCTGTATCCCCGTTTTGGTGGTTTTCAACATCCTCAAGTATCTTGCCGAACTTGAAAAAAGGGCTCAACCAAGTTCGCCGATCGTACACCACTCTTAACAATACAACCCACTGAGCACTGTCAAGCTACCTCAAGTTCCGTTAAATACTCCAGTCTTCAAGATGACTCGACCTTCTCTCGCCGAAAACCGAACGATGAAAATCGTCAATGCTGCACATGAAGGTGGCTATGCAGTTGCGGGGTTCTGTTGCTACAATCTCGAAGCCGTGGTGGCCTCCGTCAGAGCGGCAGAAGCAACTTCTTCGCCCGCAGTCGTGCAGCTCTTCCCGTGGGCGATGGAGTACGCAGGTAGCGCCCTTGTCAAAGCCGCAGCAGAACTCTGTCACAGTGCCTCAGTCCCCGTATCACTGCATCTTGACCACTGTCAGACACCAGACCTGGTTCGCCGAGCCGCGGACATCCCCGATGGCTTCGACAGTATCATGGTTGACATGAGCCACTATGAAAAGGAAGAGAATCTGGCTCTTACTCGCGAGCTTGTCGATTACTGTCATCAACGCGGTATCGCGACGGAGGCAGAGCCTGGACGAATTGAAGGTGGCGAAGACGGCGTGGCTGAGACGATAGATCTTGAGGGTGTTCTTACTACACCAGAGCAAGCTGAAGAGTTTGTCGCTACTGGAATCGAGATGCTGGCACCCGCTTTCGGCAACGTTCATGGTGAATATGGTCCGCGGGGAATCAAGCTGGAGTATGACCGGCTCGAAAATACCAACAAAGCTGTTGGCGATCGGGTTAGGCTCATCCTTCACGGGGCGGATCCATTTACAGAGGAAATCTACAATCGCTGCATCAAAGCTGGAGTGACAAAGATCAACATCAACAAGGGGATCAACAACCATTATGTCCCGACGCAAGAAACAGCAAGAGGTCGTCCGATTACCGCCACGATTGAAGCTGGTACGAAGGAAATGCAGAAGGCGTGCGAAACGTATATGCATTGGTTTGGCTCAGCAGGAAAGGCTTGAAGAATTGTTTAGACTACCTCGGTTGGAGATCTCAACATGATATAATATTTCCCATCGAAAATCGTATACCGAGAGCCATTGCCGTGCTGAAGACTTTGGTCGAGATTGTAGTATTCAAAACAACATGTTCCCAGACCAAGAACCACTTGAAACTTCTTGCAGTGACATAAGGTATCCGAACAACTTATCATCATATCATGACGAGCTTCAACAAACGCGCAACCGACTCCTCCAAATTCTGCATCAAAAATGTTCCTCTTCGACATCGTAAGCTAGAGGCTTCTGCCCGAAGCCCATCTTGTCGATACCTGTGGTCTTGGAGACCCACAATCCTCCCGAGATAGCCAACTCCATAGCTCGAAGACGCCAAGGTGCAGTTGACTTGCGCAAGGATCCATTTGACTCTGCCTTGTCTAGCATCGCCTCTGTCCTCACCTTTCGCTTCTTCTCATACACCTGCATCGCGTCTTCTAGGCTACTAGCGTTGCTCTTCAACATCTTTGAGAACAAGAAGACGTCTTCTAAAGCCATGGAAACACCCTGACTAGCGTGTGGCGGCATCGCGTGGGCAGCGTCACCGAGAACCATGCAGCGGCCCCTGGACCACGGTCTTCCTCGCGGCATCTTATAAATCGGGTAGAACTGGACAGCGTTCGTGTGGTTGATAATCTCGTGCACCATTTCCATCCAATCGGACTTTTGACTTCCCAAGAGATCAAGAAGTGTCGCCTTGAATGTGTCCGCCGCTTCCTTCCCACGCTCTTCCCATCCATCACGGACATTGCCAAAAGACGGAAGAGCGACCTCGCGGGAGAAGAACCAGTAAAGCAGATCGCGGGTTGGTGTCGTCGGGGCAATGACGAAAAGTCCGTCAGAGGTGAGCGTCGCGCTCATGGTTTCTATAGACGTGGCTCTGGGGCACACCTCGTCTGGTCGCACGAGAGCAAACATGTTTGCAAAGCCCGAGTACTCGGGCACGGAACCCGGGTCGATGAAGAGTTTCCGCACGGCCGAGTGGATTCCATCGCAGCCGAGGAGAAAGTCAGCTGTGTCTGCCGTTCCGTCGGCGAACCGGGCGGTCACGGTGTTGCCTTTTTCTTCGATTTTCTCCACGGCTTTGCCGTAGTGTATTTGAATATCTGCTTGCTTGGCAGCGCCGAGCAAGACGTCCATCAAGTCGGTTCGCTGGACACGCAAGTATCCGAAGCCGGTTTGCTGCTCACTCCAGGATGATAGATCCATCTCACCCATAACGCAGCCTTTCAGAGCATATAAGACGAGCTTCGGCGTCAATGCACCTCGAGCTGCAACGTCATTGTACAGTCCAAGGCGGTCGAGTAGTCGTAGACCGTTGGAAGGAATGCCAATTGCTCCGCCGAGTGTTGTTGGCTGGCGGCGGATTTCGTAGACTACCGGCGTGATGCCATTGGCCTTTTTCAGCTGGAGTGCAGCAAGTATGCCTGCTGGGCCACCGCCGATGATGATGATCTACGCATGTTGTTGTCAGAAAGTTCTCCAACGGGCCAGACTGTCGAGATATGAAAACCATCAAGTACCTACTTTTCTGATTTCTTTCACTGCAGTCATGTTGTTTATGGCTGGTAAGTCCGTGTCGTTTGGACTAGTTGCTTCTTACGTTCGTATGATGCGAGGGGTCGAGTTATCTTTAAACCTTTCCTTGGCACACATGATGTCTGTTGTCGGCCTTTTCGTAACAAGTCCAACGCCTTCCGCAGATCCGTAAGTACACCAAATCATGCGATGGTAGATCGCTCAAGGGAACTTAATGCCGGAACCCGGTAACCAAACCGGCACCGTCCTGCCGTGTTGCCGCGTTGCACGAGACGGCTCCATATCATGGCTTCACGCCGTCGGACTTTCGCCGATACCAAAAACTCCGGTTCGGATTTCTATCTGCGGCGTTCGGACGGCCGATGTCAAGAGCCACCCCAGTCAACTATAGTGTACATCGTGAAATTAATTCCCTATTATTTGTGATCCAGAGCTGGCTCTTGAGATCGTGCTTTCGTGACCCTTTTGTCAAGGGAAGTGATATTTGTGATCGTTTGGTGCAGTAAATCAGCTATTCTGATTGTGATTTGCCTGCCAAGGAAACTCAACAATCCAACTCTCACTACCTAGTCCAAATTGTCCAAGGGGGATTCAAAAGAAATCAAAAGAAATGCCTACCCCAACCCCAATGCCGGTGGCCGTAGCCTATTGGAATTTTCGTTGCCATCTGCTGATGTTCGACATCCTGAACTATGACTGCCTGACGTGGCATTGGCATTAAATCGCAGGGGCAAGCGATGCTAAGACTTAGCTGTCCACTCACAGCGAAGGAAAGGCTGCAGCTTACAGTCCACCCCATCTCCGCCAGATGATTTCGTGCACAAAGCTGACACCTGCTGCATTTCCTACTTCTCCATGAATCTGGCAGCCTAATTTTGCGCGCGAGAGACTCTACGTCAGCTCGTGTCTCCCGTTTCGACCGTCAAGATGTTGGCCAATGATACGCAGTTCTTCAAGCAATCCTTGAGATCTGAATACTGGATCAACTTCAACGTCGACAAGAAGTTCAGTCTTGCTGGCGTTTATGGACCCGAACTCGATAGCGAGGACAAGGAACTAGTCCGTACGTGGGCATCGACCAAGGGTGCGAGCAAGACAGCCCCGGCCCAAACCCAACCTTCGTCCCTTTATCGTTCCATACTCGATCCTGTCGAGATCCGCGTGCTCGAGATCTTGCCAGGTACCGGCGATGACGGGCTGCGTGGCCGCCTCCATCACTGCTCACTCGAACTCAAGGCAAGCTTTGCTCTCGCTGTCGATGGATCCGCCACGCCAATGGCGTACACGGCTCTCAGCTATACATGGGGCCCAAACGTGTTCGATGAGGCAATCGAGTGCGAAGGTCACGTCAAGAATATCACAAAGTCTCTCGCGGTTGCTTTGAGGGCTTTCCGACAAGAGGATCGCTCAGTTGTGATGTGGATAGACCAGATCTGCATCAACCAGGATGATAACGAAGAGAAGGCGCAGCAGATACCCTTAATGTCGAGGATCTACCAGAATGCGATGAACACCGTTATCTGGTTGGGTGAATCAACTTCGAATTCTGCTTCCGCCATCAAGCTGCTCGAAGACGTTAGATTGCTCTTGCAGTTTACGGAGAAGACTATCGGTCCGGATGAGTTCGAGGGGTTAAACCTTCCCTTAAAAGACTCGGAGGTTTGGGGAGCCCTGTGGGACTTTCTCTCACGCCCATGGTTCACACGACTGTGGATCATCCAGGAAGTCATTCTCTCCTTTGACTCTTGGGTTGTGTGCGGCAATCATATGACTACGTGGGACGTCTTGTCATTGGCCTGCCTACATCTATGGACCTGTGGCATCTCGAGATGGCTGGGGGAGAAATTCAATTCTGGAAGCCGCGCACTTGACTTTCAGAGGGATCTTTGTGAGTCGGTACAGCACCTCAGCAGCATGAAGTCAAGCTACCACAGTGCAGCCATGCCGCTATTCGATCTATTGATAGAGTCCAGAGAAGCCAAGTGCTACGACAATCGGGACAAGGTGTATGGTCTGCTTGGTGTCTGTCAAGATCAGGATAGGTCTGCGATCAAACCAAGCTACGCAGACGAGTTTCCCGTAACTCGTCTCTATCGCGACATAACGACGCGTCACCTGGATGACAACAAAGGCAGCTTGAGGCTTGGCGTGGTCCTTACCTGCGTAGACCATGAGTCTCCCGACCTGCCCTCATGGGTACCAGACTGGAGGAATCCCCGCCGAACACACTCATTGGGACACTCTACCACCACAACAACCCCGTACATGGCATGCGGCCATCTTACGATCGAGATCGGCAGACTTCATCCGCCTTTAGAAAGCAAAAATAAGGACGAGCTGCGGCTGCATGGTGTTTCGGTTGACACTATCGCAAAAGTCGGTACCACCTCCACGAATCCAGAGTTGAGTCTCGACGATCCAACCACTGCCAACGGAGACTTGAAAGACATGTGCTTCTTTGTCGCAGAGCTACAAGAGTATCCAGGTCATGAAACTGTCTTCTCTGCCTTCTGGCAGACACTGGTCGCTGGAAAAGACGCCACCGAAATGGCGAAGGCACCGATAGCCTATGAGGAGATTATCTCCCTTCTCCTCGACGCATCCACGGGGCTGTCTCCGTCGCTCCCAGGACAGACGTACTCTGCACGACAAAGACGGCCAGCAGGCAAGGGGAAGTTACAGCTGGCGAATCTTAAGGAACGCACGGCAGGAAAAACCTTCCAGGATGTAAGAACCTCAATGGTGCATGCTAGGCGGAATCGTAGGCTGTGCTTCACTGCTAAGGGGTACTTGGGGCTGGTGCCGGAGACAAGCAAGGTGGGGGACGAGATTCACATTTTGGATGGGTGCCATATTCCATACCTTCTGAGGAAGGTTGATCACAGGAGGCATCGGCTAGTTGGAGAGTGCTATGTGCATGGGATCATGAGAGGAGAGGCTGTCCACGATAATCAGAGCATGGACGAGATAGTTTTGATGTGAAAACTCAACGATGATATTGTCTGAGCTCCCTTCGTCACGATGATTGTATACCCAGACTAGCTTATGCGCAGCAGCTGCTACCAGAAGTTTTAAACAGACAGTGGCAAGCTCGCAAGGATTTACTAAGCCTTCGTTGGCCCCGATGGTTGAGCCTGGCTTGATTGTTGTTTCTCCCGCTGAATCTCACAGCACGTTGATACTTCCGTTAGTACGTAATTTGGCTCGTTAGTCTGGTTTCTGGCAATTGTTCTTTCCGTCATCCCAGGGCAGGAGTGAGGCTGGCAACACACAGTGAAAATCAGAAGGGAGGAGCGTAGTTGATAAAGAGATCTTACGTTGGAAAGAGGCCATGTCTTGCGCAGCAGTTTGTTTCCATCCTCAGATGCATGCCGTTACACCTCTTGTCTTTTCCCATCTCCATAACTCCCAACATTTTTGGAACAACTCTTTCATCTATCCTGACGGCAACAAACAGGCCCATTTCGAATCGTCCATTCGCGCAAGAACATTGTGTTTCAATATGGCCGAGTCAACAGAGGTTGGTGCATCCCCACCTCCCTAGCTTTCGCCGCTCGTAGTCGCAAACATCTTGGAAGAGGTACTAACATGCCGGCAGGAACAGGAGAATCCTGTTATACTCCCTTCGATCGAGGTCTCTCCGGTTATCAAAGTTGAGAGCTCTCCTCACGTTGGTCCTCTGCCTTCTTCTCCCAACAATCCTTCGGCCGAGGCTTCTGCAATCGATGACCCTCCGGCTGAGGCTTCTTCAGTCATTGCGCCTCCGGTTCATTTCCATCATCCCGGCAACCCCCCGGTCCGGGCTTTTGCTCCTATGGACCAAAATGCTCCGCTCATTCACGATGTTGGCCAGGCCCCTCCCGCTATCAATCCTCGCCCCGTCATTGCAGCCCGGGCCTTGAATCCTCCTGTCGTTTTACCCCCGCTTCCTGCTCGTCGCGGCAACGACCCTCCAACTCAACCTCGACCTTCTGTTCCTCAAATAGCCTATCCTTCTCCCGTCGTAAACCCCCCTCCCCCCAATCGGGGTTCAAGGGACGTTTTCAGCTTTCACGGCCTGATGGACGTCTGCCAGGGAATGGAGGCAGAGATCTTGTCAAATGCCCTGGGCAGCACAAGGGCCAGAGGCGACGAACAAAGCTTCAAGACGCCGTTAGAGTACGAGGTCATTCTCCGAGTGAAGAACAAGATGATGGCGCATCGCAATCAGTCAGTCGATGGAAAGACTCGTATTGAAGACGACTTCAGGAAACTCTCAGGCCAAGAACAGAGCTGGCCGGTTATGAGGATGAGTGGGGCGCTCAATGACATGACGAAGGGCTTTGACCGTTAGATACAGGGTCTCGATGCTCTTATTGCAAAGATTGATGCATGGTTGGAGGAGTATCACAGAGATTATGGTGCTGCTCCGGCGGGATCCAGTAGTGCCCCTGGGCCGCCTGGCCCTGGGCCATCTGCCCCAGCTGCCTGAGTATGAGAGAAAGTTATCAGACACGGTTCACGTTACAGAATGGAGTATGTTGAGCGACAATATGGCTTATTGGGGACAGAGGAAGAAAAAGATCCACAGAGACGTAGTAGGCTTCAAAAAGTTCGTAGTTGGGTACTAGGACACAGCAAATCAAATTTGTTTGACTCCGTTCAACAGCCGCGGCGATGCTTGGCAGCACCTGTCACCCTGAGGAATGATGATAGTGATAAAAAAACACGCTCCTGCCAACACTTTTCTTTCCGGGAAGGATCGAAGTAGGGCGGAAAGTGCCTGCCCTCGCGCTCTTGCTCAAGGGACTCCTCGCATCTCTTGACACCATCTACCTTACCTTTGATTCATTCTTAAGCAGCAGAAATTCCTCAGCATCTTGTGTACCAACTCATTTCGTGGCCATGCCAGGTTATCTTAATAGCGGCGAGGACTAGAAGGAGAGCCTGGAACAGGGGACGGGAGGTCCGCGGGAAGGTGCTGAAGTGGGGCCGGCCTCCTACCTTCCAAGTTCTCCGAGCGTCTCGGGCCAACGTGGATCACGTAGCCGAGCCGCGAGGAAGGAAACCGACAGGAGCGTGGCGTCGTGACCAAAGACGTATGTGCCTGTTCCATCAAAATCTCCGAATGTGAAAATAGTGCTTCGTGCGTTTTTTCTCGCTAAGGCAGGTACCTAAGGTAAGTTGCTCTTGAGGCTCGCAAGGCATTGCTGAGACGTGCCAATGATGATCCTGAGGCAGCACAGCAAACTCGGCCGGATTCCGTACCTGGTGCATGTCTCTGAAGCCAAGAATTTGTACCAAGTCGGAATGGGCCGGAGCGAGCAGAGATATTTCTGCGTATGTTGAATGTTGGACGTTATTTGCCCACTTGTTGAAACTCAGAAGCGAATGAGAGGCTCATGAGAGTGGGATTAAAGTGACGCAGCATTGCATCCATACGGGCCCCAGGCTTTCCTTTCCGGAGAGCCACAAACGGACACAACAGGTGCGGGTACCGGAGAATGAAGTCGACGCCATTCTTCTTTTGGAAAGGCCTGGCGCAGATCTTGATGAGCCCCAGAAAACTGCCCGAGGCACGAACTCCGTCACGCGTTGATTGGCCGCCGTCTCGATCAGTCACTTTTAGGTATTCCCGTGGTTGAGGAAGAAAAAGGCCACGAAAATACGTAGGAATCGGGCAGGAAGAGGTGCCATTCAGAGTCCCAATTGTCTCGACTCGACACGATATGACTGGCCCGGCTATGGCATTCGAAGCTGAGACCTCTTTCTGCTCTTTCCTCCATCTCAGTCACCTCTCCTTGTCCGGGTCTTGCTGGGTGAAAGAAAGTCTGAGTTGAAAGGAAGTCGCCGTGGTGCTGCACCTTGCCCCAATTTTCCCCAATCTCCCCTCCTTCCCTACTCGCCTCAATCGGTGTTGTCCCCTTGCACTTTCCCCTTCTTTCCCAGGTTCCCCTCACATCCTACGGTCTCTCTCTCGGTGGTTATCCTTCATGATTCGATGCTCACCTCCAAAAGGCCCCAGAGTCTGTATCCCCATATCTTTCTCTTGCCCTCCAGTCCAAACTCCAACCATCCACACATTGGCCCATCATCCCACGCCATCCTGGGTTTGAACCATTTGGTACGACTGCGCTAACATCTCTAGTGCTCCACGCGCTTGGTGCCCCAGACAGACAAGACCATGTCCTTGGCTTCTCAGTTGAACATGACGTCGTCCACCCTAGACTCTTTGACTTTCCCGCCTTCTGATACGTGCGCTTAACACGACTCGATGATATCGCAGCATATTTGCGACTCAAGCACTTGCCGTCACTCCCAAATGGCTCCAACACGCTGGCCGCCTGCCGGGTAGCCTTGCTTTCGCATCTCCGGCCATGCCTTTACGGCACTTTTACCTCAGAGCCTCTGCCCGAGATCTCCACCACCCGCTCAGCCGCCCGTTACCGGCTCCTCAATGAGACGCCACCCAAGGTACTCGGAGCATGTGGGCCCTTTTGTTCGAATCTCTCAAAGGCGCGCCTCTCGGTGTTAGTCGGTTGGTGGTGTGGGAAATCTTGTTTGATATCAGAGTGCACCATCTATATAAATAACTCTTCATCTTACCTTCGACATTCCAACCTGCAGAACTCTCTGGATCCAGGCCTGGTTTGAATGCAGCGTCACAGCCTGTCGTCCTCTAATTCATATCGCCATTTGACTTCGAAGTATACCAGGAACGCCTTGGACAGGCACAACCTCATGCCCGTCATGTTTCGCATTTACAACATCTACGGTACGCACTCTCTGCGTGACCATCTCCTCCCACTCGGCATTGCCATATGTACTATGTTTCCAGATGCTGATCAGTGACTTGTAGCGCTCGCCGCCTTTGGCACCATCGGCGGTATGCTTTTCGGTTTTGATATCAGTTCCATGAGTGCGTGGATCGGCGCCGACTCCTACAAAGAATATTTCGGCCACCCGAGCTCGACCCTCCAGGGCGGCATCACGGCTTCCATGTCCGGTGGCTCCCTTGTCGGTGCCCTGGTCGCTGGGTTCTTGGCCGATTCATACGGCCGTCGCGGCGCTCTCAAGCTCGCCTCCGTTATTTGGATTATTGGTGCTGCTCTCCAATGCTCCTCCCAGAATGTCGCTCACCTCATTGTTGGTCGTGTCGTCTCTGGTCTGGCCATCGGTATCACAAGTTCCCAATGCTGCGTCTACCTCGCCGAACTGGCTCCCTCCCGCATTCGCGGGCGTATCGTTGGCATTCAGCAATGGTCGATTGAATGGGGCATTCTCATCATGTACCTTATCTCTTATGGCTGTATTGTCAGTATCCCCAACGATCCCAAGGCATTTCGCATCGCCTGGGGTATTCAGGGCATTCCTGGTCTCATCCTCGGAATCGCTCTTCTCTTCTTCCCCGAGTCGCCACGTTGGTTAGGCCAGAAGGATCGGTGGGAGGAGTGCCACGAGGTCCTTGCCCATCTCCACGCTGGTGGTGACCGCGAGGCCCCTATTGTTCTTGCCGAGCTCGATGAAGTTAGGGAAGCCGCCCGGGTTGCCGCCGAGTCCAAAAATGTTACTTTTTTTGGCCTTTTTGGACCGCGTGTCTGGAAGCGCACACTCGCCGGATGCAGTGTTCAAGTTTGGCAACAGATGCTTGGGGGAAATATTGCCCTTTACTATTTGATTTTTCTGTTTAACATGGCAGGAATGGTGAGTAATTCCAGGTCATGACCTAAATTTTGCATGGCTAACCTATTACATAGTCTGGCAACGTGGCTTTGACTTCCTCTATCATACAATACGTTATTTTCCTCGTTACCACCGGCGCTATCCTCCCCATCATTGATCGTCTCGGCCGCCGTCCTCTCCTTATTGGTGGTGCCATCATTTGTTGCATCATCCACTTCACGACTGGCGCTGTCATGAAGGTCCATGGAAACCCAGTTGACAGCGTCAATGGCGACGATAACTTGAGGTGGGAGGTCACTGGAGCCCCGGCAAAGGGTGTCATTGCTCTATCTTACATCTTTGTTGGTGTTTACGGTCTCACCTGGGCTCCTATCGGCTGGATCTATGCTTCCGAAGTCTTCCCTCTCAAATACCGTGCGACTGGAGTTGGTTTGGCTGCGGCCTCCAACTGGGCGTTCAATCTTGCTCTCGCCTTCTTTGTTCCTCCTGCCTTCACCAATATCCAGTGGAAGACGTACATGATCTTTGGAGCCTTTTGCGCTGCCATGACTGTACACATCTTCTTCACATACCCAGAGACATCCGGCAAAAGTCTGGAGGAAATTGACGAGCTTTTCGACTCCAAAACTCCCGCCTGGCGTACCCGAAGAGCTGGTGGGCGCTTTGAGGAGCGAATCGCCGCTACTGAGGGTAAGAAGGAGGGCCTCAATAGTTCGCATGCTGAAAAGGTTGAGGTGTAGATCGACTTTTTTTTTTCTGTATAACAGGCATCGATAACTAGATGATGCTCTCAAACTGTAGCGATACCCATTAGTCAATTTCTATCAACTTCAAATTACACCTAATTAGGTTGCTTAGCGCCGAAATGTCGGTAATTTCGACGACAACATTCGACTCCACTATCTGATCCGAGTATTCCCAACGGTTCAATGCCGGAAAAGTAATTCCTGCTCAAGCTAAGGTACTATAGCCATAGGAATGGTCTGTAACAACGGTGGCTGTCTTTGCGGCCGTCTTGCCTTACGGGGTAGGAAGGGAATTATGTGATGTGGCTGTCACTAATGACGTCGATCTGTGTCTTGACGTCATCCTTCGGGTATCGCTCGACTACAGTCAATCCCACTACTTCAAAGGTCATTGCATACGAGAAAGACTTCATCTGCTTTTATCTACATGCCAAGCATAATTTTACGGTCCAATTGATCCCTCAAATAAACTCAACAAGAAAGACAATACTGCATTTCCACATAATGTCTTCCCAAAACAAAGACAACAACGCCCAACAACCCGGCCTCATCGCCGGCCACGCCGAGTACATCAAGGGCGCCGCCGAGGTAAGATAATAGATATGCAACACATCAAATTTCAGCAGCAACCATTAGGCGGGTAGAGATACTAACAGGATGGACACAGGCCGCCATTGGCAGCGTCACGGGCTCGCACGCCTGGACCTCGTCTGGAGAGCAGGATAAGGCGCACGCCGCGTCGACGATGAAGGCTGCTGGCGAGCAGCGTGATGCATCAACGCAGGGATACGGCAAGGCGGAGGAGATTGCTGGAAAGGCGTTTGGGTGTGAGGGAATGAAGACTGAGGGAGCTGCTAGCAAGAACGAGTAATTGGGAGTTACGGGACATGATGATGTGTCATCATGATGGAGTCTGTACGATTAAGACATGGCGATGCGGTTACGAAACTTATTATATTTCTTCAAGACCAATGCGAACCTACGATGGCATTTTGTTATATGTGTTACCTGCGTCGTATTCGTGGACATTTGGCCCTTCAGCGACGTTGCAAGATGAAGGAACGAGTCTCGATCTAACATTCCACAAGAAATGTGACAAAGTTGCGTCCCTATTTACAACGTCAAATGCCTTGCTTGCATGCACCAGCCATTTAAGTTCAGATAGCTTCTTTCTCTTGCGGTAAGTTTCGGAATATTCAACAGTGAATTCAAGCACAGAGTGGACCATGGACATGCCACGAATTGCGTAAAGCTTAACGGGCGGAATAAACTTCACTGCATCCTTCAAATCACTCTCGTCGATGATCTTGCCGAAGTTCTCGAGGACTTTGGGAAAAGGTCAAAAATGCGCAAGGTAGTTGATCCGCGCTACGGGAATAGGCCCGTGAAATTCTGTTCAAACCGTCTCCTTGGCCATGTGCATCACCGTCGTGAGCGGCTGCGGCTGCAATGAGCTCTTCTTGACAATCTTCTCTACCTGAGCTTTGGTTGTTGGGGCGCATTGCCCGTTGATCCGGGCCAGCCAAACGGGACCCGTCTTGTGGTTGACTTCGTGTTGATCGCAAAAGATAGACGAGAGCGGGGTGACGATGAACTCGTTGCTCTTCCACTCAATGATAGACTTGGCCTTATTGAGGGGTCCACCGTACACGATTCGACGGTAGATTGAGAGGAAGTTCCTGTCAGTCAAGTCCCCCCGAAAGACGTTGGCCTTGAAGAGGTTGTATGATTCCTCCATGATGGGAATCTTAGCGAGCTTGAAGTCGGAGGGCCGGAGGGCGTTGTAGAGGTAAAGTGGTGCCGGGACTATACAAAGACCCCCACCGGTGGAACAGCCGGCGAGATATCTGCCCATATGCTGGGCCTGGAACAGTATCTCCCCCATGTGTCCGCCGGCGGTCCAAGGGGCACGGTAGTAAAATTGGGTACAGTCTTCTGTGGCGTAAGCATCCATAGCCCCGTGGAACTCGTCCATCTTCTCCGCCAGGGCTGTGTGGGAAGCGTTGTCGAGGGAGGCCTTCACGACTTCCGTGGAGAAGTCAACCGCGGTCCTCATTTGACTGGCGAGCTCGAGAGCACTGTCTCTTGCATCAAGATCTTCATTAGACTCTCCATTCGGCTAGCGAAAGGCGTCAAACGTCGTCATGAGCAGATCTAGGCCGAGAACCAGCCCCGCCGAGGGTGCAATATGCGGTACATTGGTCGAAGCAGTCTCTTGAGGCAGCTTGGTCTGGTGGGTCCATTGAGACAACATGTTCTTCCCCGGGGGATGAACGTCTACACCCATATGGAAATCAAAGAGGTAGGACAGAAGCGGCTCAGACGATCCGGCTTGCACCAAAGAGGCTTTCTTGTGGACTTCCAGTCGCTCCACCGGGCGTTTCCCATTCTAATCATTCAAATATTCGCGCGAATTTCGCAAAACTTCCAAGACCCCTAACATATGCTCCTCGTCATGTTTGCCATCCGGAGTTGCATGAACATGGGGAGTGTCAGGGTCTCTTCAGATGAGCAAATTATCGTGTTCAGGCTTGTGCAAGTCGCCGTGCTGAGCGAACTGATCTCTTTGCGATTCCACAATTGTATGAAGTCGTAAAAGTCGCAAAAGCGGCGGAAGTTGAACATTCCGTCGATCTCGGAGTTGATCTCGGGTTGCGCGTCACGAAACTTCAAGACGTTGACGCAGTACTCGTGCATCTCCTCACTATTCAAGGGCAAGTATTCACCAACGAGCTGATTCCCAAGCAAGAACACCGTGCTGGTAAGCAACGCTGCGACTGGGATAGGAAGAGTTCTTTTCGCAGCCTCGGTACACAAATGCATCAGCTGGTCGCGCATCATTGCAGCTTGCTGAGAGATTCATTAGGTGAGGGTCCAGAAGTCGCAGCCCGGAAGGAACGGCCCATGACTTACGTATAGAAGGAACGACGCCTCGAAAACTCGGCACATGTCATCGTCTTCGAGGAAAATCTCAACCTTGCAATGTTGCTGACGAACAACGACCTTGCCCTTGGCTGATTTCCTATGGGGTGCAGCAGGGACTTTCGAGATGCTAGGTAGAATCGGGGAAACATCGTCGTCGTCGTCGTCGTTTTCTTCTTCCTCCAATGCGAGTACAGCAAATTGATTGAGCGTCACGGCGTCGATGCGGGGAATCTCTGAGTTGGGAAGTCTCTTAGACGCCGCCACAAGGGGCTTCAGTATACGGGAGGTCTTCTCTAGTCTGATGCGATCATTATTGTCAGTTCAGGTTCGAAATTCCATGTTGGCATGAGGTATTTTACTACCTCTTGATGAAGTGTTTATGGCTAGGATCCTCAGCACCCGAGGACTTGTAAATGTTGTCGACTTCCTGGCGCTTTTCGATGACATGCTGAAGAGCCCCAATAATGGAGAGGGGGCCAACAGTGTTTGACTCATGAAGAACCTTGCCAACTTCGTTGCTGGCCATCAGGGTGGCTCAGGTTGCCACACATGAGGCTGAGAAAAGCATTTCACCATATCAATGGCATCGTTTCCGGTGGCCCGAGAATTAAAAAGTCACAAATCATGGCAGGGCAAGCAGCACCTTTGTTGGACCAAGGCTTTCATCAGAAATCTTTTCGCTATCTCCCGTGATTGACATTAGTCTGAAGTGGTAACAAGGATACAAAGCCTAAGTTCCGGCAGGTGTTTTCAATCCTCTTGAGAAGCTTATCAACAAATCAGACCAGTATCAAAGCTTTGCTTAATATCAGGGAGTAGCCGCAGTGAAGGGTAACACGCAATAACTAATATGCTACTACGTCTTAGCAAGTACACGGAGCATAGTTGTCTTTAGGCGACCTTTTATGTCTGCTTGATAGCTTCACTTGCATTCGGTTTCTCCTTAACCTCTGCCATTACGAAACTTTTTTACCCATCGAGGCTTGGTTTATATGTTTGCCAGATTGTCTGGGATGGCCACCTCGGAAGAATCGGATACTTTCAAGCACCCACCGCAAGGGCAGGAGACAATTTGTTGAGGGATCTTAACTTAGATGAGCTCCATTCAGGGTTATACGTCTATCCATGGATGTTCGCATCTTGGATAAATTAAGCGGTGGCTGGCCATGCTTAAGGTAGTACGAGCTTACTTGACGCCAATGTTCGAGTCGGGCGTGAGGGAATAGCAGCAGAGGGCAACGTCTCAGAATTAATTTGATTCGGAGCCGATATGACGAAGTCTGTAACATTATTGAATCATTCCACTTCAAGATTTATATTATGCCTGAGGTCCTGATCTGCTTGTAAGGGCTGTCTCCATTTTGATGTCCTCCAGACCACCATGTTTAACCGACTGCCCCATGAATAGAAAGCAATTGGCTCTTTGAAACTCCTAATCCTCAACGCCGCCACCTCGCAAAATTCCTGGTATTGTCCAAATTTCCCGTAGCGTTAATTACCACCCGCCATTCTGCTTGCGACGAATCTCCTGGTCAAGCTGGTCCTTCATGTTCTGGCGTCTCTGAATCTCATCGTCGAGACGATCCTTCATACGCTCTCTGTTTCGAATCTCCTGATCGAGTCTGTTCTTCTCGGAGTAGTCGCAGTTACCGCCGCCATTACCAGAGCTGAAGCCACCGCCAGAGTTGAAGCCACCACCGTTGTTTCCGTTCTTGTACGCTCCGCCGTTTCCGAATGATCCGCCGTTGCCATATGTGGCAGCAGCGTTCACATTTTTGGCAGCTTCACCTCGGGTCTCGATTGGAGCGACTGAGTCGACATCAATGTCTGGGACGTTGCGACCGCTCAGAAGTGGCGTTGCGATAACGCTGGAGACGAGGGTGATGATGAAGAGATTCTTGATGGCAACCATTTTGGTGAAATTGTAATAAGCTGAGATACTTGAGGCGAAGTGTAGAGGAAGCAAATTAAATTTGGAGGTGTTGCTGGGTGAGGTGGTCTTGGGTGAGATGACCTTGTTTGATGAGGCTGCTGATCAAAAACTGCTAATGACAGTGGAAATACTCCATCTTTATGTACTTCTTTTGTTCTTAGGGTCTAAAATCACTGATGCCGAGACCGACACATCAAAATCCCCCCGTTTAGTCTTTTGACTAGGCAGAGTACGTTCGCCGCTATCATGCACGACGAGTAGCCTTGGCCGACAAGCTTTGACATGGTGAAGTAGGTGACACCATCACAATTCGGCCGCATGCCATCGGCGGTAACCAATTTTCTCCACTTGTTGCGAGCTACGAGAGCGACCACGAAAGTTTCCATCTCCGGTATGCCTCGAGGGAGCTGGGCGTTGGACAGGCCGACGGGACGCTCGGGTGCATACAACATCACGCCTCGCTCGGACTGTTGTCGTTCGTGAGTTGCCATTCTGCCAGTAGCAAGTTCGGATGAAGCCCTTGGAGTTGCTCATGGCTAGCCAGAAAGCGAAAGCCCGTAGGAGAGGGGTTAAGCTTTTTCTCTGGGCACAGCCAGATTATAGACAACATGGTTAGCTATAGGGTGACGACTGCAACATGGAGGCTCGCGACTCAGGCAGGATGCCGGTCGACAACCGTGCATGACTCCTGCCGACAGATGGAAACGAAACTGGATGAGGCTTGGCAGGTAGGGCTGGCACATACCAACGAGCTGCGCGCAGCAACTGTTCTCTGAAAGGAAGAGGGGAAGACAAGATGGGGTTAGAGTAAACGAGGCGGAAACTTCGGCCCAGTGGGCGAAACGTTTACTTCCTTCGCTCGGAGCACCCAGTAGTCGTACGCGGCAAGCGGCCGACATTTCTAGAAACACCACGCTAGTCTTTACAGGGTCCCTCAAGCCGACAAAACTTGCATAGCTCAGAGCTTAACGGGTGATCGTCAGCGGTCTGGAAGTGGTCGATGCGCGACATGTTGGCAGGCGGGCATCCCACGCGGTCTCCGGTTCGATCGTAACTTTCCGCGGATAGTTAACGATAGCGAGTTATGACCTACCGACGATCCCGACGGGGTGGTAGAGACGGGAAGCCGTCGATCATCGAAGTGCGATTCCGCCTTGGGACCCAATGAACGATCCCTCAACCGATTGCCGACCATGCTTTGCTGCACGATGACTTCGGCGTTTGATCTGCCCTGTCGGCGGTCAGTACTGAGGTGCCGCCGAGTGTGCTCTAATTGTATGCTTATTTCGTAACAAAGCTCGGAACCACACGCTATTCGCTGTTGGTTCACGAGTCCGAGATTTCCCTTGCCTCGTACGCTGTTTAGACAGGCTCACTCGATTTTTCCCATAGCTCAAAACACTTGGAACTGTGCCTACGTTCCATTCAACAGCCGTCACCCTCAAATGAGTCAAGAGAAAGTGGTCGACCTGCCAGATGGAGCTCAGAGTTCTGCCAGATATGCGTCTCATGCTTTGCTGTCATTTGACTCCCGTAAAGCAAGGCAGAGTTCAAGCTTCCACGTACGCGTCGCCGATGCCATGAACGAGTCTGGCTTGTTTGCCCATTGTCAACCGATTAGTCTCGTCCAATGCCAGTGCCCCAATCATTTTAAACACTTCTTAGCTCCTTATTTGAGTCCATGAAATCCCCGTAGTCCCCGCCTGTAACCCCGCCACTTGGACCACGCCCGCTTGGTATCATTAAAGCTTTCTTGCGCCTGGGATCAAGGATCGTGAATTTGTCAACGCAACATGCCCGGCTAGGCGGTCAGCCGAGACTCATCGTTTGCCCGGGCCAAGAAATATTGTGTAATAGTCGCCAATCGTCACGGCTGGGAGTTTTTAGCTGAACATTCATTTTCGGTTTGATCAATTCTCGCAGCAGCTCAAGATTCTGTGTCAAATTCATCAATTTCTCAATAAGCCTTCTTTAACCTTTGCTAAGCTTTTTTGTTTTTTTTTTCTTTTCTTGGAAGCCGCAGCAGTCTGCCTTAGTTGATCGACCAAGCGCTTGCCACTATCTTTAGACACGCAGCAAACTTGTCTTGCCAAACGATCATACTTGTTTGAATACACCCCTTTCAAAGCTTGCCAGGTTATGAATCTCCCATATTGAAAAATATTTCACCTCCTCCCCCAAACAAAAACGGAATGAAAAAAAAAATAAAAATGATAAAGGTAAATCTTAATCTGGCAAGAATTTGTGCGGAACATCGATCTCCGGTTTCTTGATGAAGAGTATCTGAAACTTCGACAGCCTTCAGAAGAACTAGTCTGATTCCACACACTGAATGAACTGGGCGATTGAGCTTGGCTAGATGAAGCTTCCATGTGGCGATTGCCATATGAGACAAAGCTGCGTGTGGCTTGAGCGATAGTTTGGCTCAATTAGTTGGCTATCATATCTATATTTGTGTCTTCACCTGAGTTTCTCATGCTTGCCTGACTCAAACTCTGTGGAGACTTGAGCCTCTACATTTCGGAGCCGAAACTTGTCTTGGGCACCAATAATGACCTTTCGCCTCCCCGTGCAGTTATGAACCCATTGGGAAGAATCACTGACTAATATCAAAGGCTAGGTATTTTCCCGAAACAACTCAACTTTTCAGTGGAGAGTGAATTTTTAGTTGTATTGATTGTGTATTTACTTGGTTCGATAGATGACAAGAGACAGAACTATGTTCTTCACATCAAGAAGTGGCTGAAGAGCATAGTAATGCCATTTCAACTTCCTCACCAACAGCGTCCTGCACAGGTATACTTCCTAAGCCCCTTTGAGAGCCATTAATCAGAGGCAAGATTCCACTCTAGGGCACCTCGTAACATGTCCATAATGAAGGGTGGTGGAGATGTAGTGAACATATAACCCCTGCTCGTGTATCGAAGCTCTCGAATCAAGCTCTGCGGTCCGGTAAGAAACCCTGCGGGCAGACCAAAAATGCGGTTGAAAGATCCGCAAACCAAGACGTGAATGTTCATCCGTGAGGGAAAAGAGATGAGTTGCCTTGGGTCCAAGTATTGAGAGGTGCAATGGAGAAGAATGGTCATGACGGACTCCGGACCTGTGATGGCAGCAATCTCTTCGAGAATAGACGAAAGCAGGTGGTGTGCCGAATCCTCTCCGACGCGCACGTATACCGTAAGACACAACTTTGTGTTTCTTCGATAGAGCTTTCTGACCTGTTGCACAAGCTGAAACAGGTCGACATATCCCAGTAAAGTAGGGGCGTCCTTCTTTGATGCCATCGCGAGACCATCGCGAACAAATTGGGACGCGCCTCGTTCGAACAGCATGAAATGCTTCGTGTGTCCTACCAGAGGGCGTGAAAGCGCTGCGATAGTGGAAGCTAGCCCGATAGAGGCGTCCGCATAGGTCAAGGCGGCCTCCATACCCGTGGCACGAGCAATGAGGTCTTCGACCACAAGATGGGGAGGAAACGTGCCGCAGATCCATCTGGCACCGCCTGCTCCAATGCCATACTGAGCACGAGATCCATGACCTATGTCGAGGATTCGAGGACCGCAAGTGCTATCAAAAAGCTGCCTCTGATCGCTGTGCGGGCCCATGGCAGCGTCCATCTTGATCAGGCTGCGTACCCAGTCAAAGACCTTCGAGGCCTCGTTGCAGTCCTCCTCCGCATCGAACACTTCTACTTTAGTCTTGAAGAAAGAACGAGATATCTTTCTCATCCTCCCCATACCCACGCTTGCTGCAGCGCGGATAACAGCATGAAGAAGCCTGTTTACCTCCTCGTCTGTGAAGTCTGCCGAAAGGTTGATTCGAACTCTGCTCTCCTAAAACGGCACTGCTGGAGTGCAGACTGGTGTCGCAAGTAGTCCGGCGCATCTCAAGGCGTAAGAGAGCTTCGCAGAAAGGCTAGGCCTGCCGGTGTAGACAGGCAGAACCGGTGTACCGACGTCACCATAAACGAATATACCGAAGCGTTCCAACTCCTCGCGACAGAATCGGGCAATTTCAGCAAGCCGTTGGAGGCTACGGCCAATTCGACGTGGCTGACCCAGTACCCATAACGTCTGGATCATTGTCGAGCTAGGCAAGGAGACATTGTCCTGGTCGTTGAGGCCTTCGATGCGCTCACGGATGATGTCCTGAAAGACAGCCCTCCCGACGATGATACCTCCAATACCACCGATAGCTTTGGAAAGTGTACCAGTGCGAATGTCAATCAGATCCCAGGGTAAGGGGCTCTCTGGGTGGTGGTTATTCCAGTATTCGAGGCATCCGCGACCCGTCTTCCCAAGAGAAAGGAATGAGTGCGCCTCGTCACAGTAAAGAGTAAAGTCGTAGTCCTTTTTCAAATGATGCAGGAGATCCAGGGGGGGTATATCGGCTTCCATACTGCGGTGACTCAAGTCAGTGACAGTTAAATTGATAAACGCTCGACTCACGAAAGATACAAGATGACTTTCACAAACCTGTAAAGACCTTCGATGGCCACTATTACATTGACAGACTCATCAATACACCCGCTGAGTAAAATTCAAGGTGCTCCATATTGTTGTGTTTGAACTTTCGTAAGTTTGGTGAGGAGGCCAAAAACGCGCCGGTGAACATCGAGTTGTGGCAGTTCTCATCCATGATGACCATAGTGGAGCAATCGATCAATGCTGGCAGCGCGATGTAATTAGATCCATACCCAGTGCTAGTGGTGAAGCAAAAGTCCGCTCCAAAGAAGTCTGCAATTGCATGATGCGTTTCGTCTCGGAGAAGGGGCACAGCCCGGGTGTCGGACACTGGCAGTGCTTCCAAACACAGCCGCTGCAACTCCTCAGCCTGAGAAGTAGCCTTGTAGAAGCCAGCATAGTTGTGAGACGCTCCGTTGACAAGCTTCGTCACGGAACCCAGTGCGTCGGAGGCTTCGACCCGGCCGAGGCATTGAGTGGTGAGAACGCGATAGTTTGCGCCCCACCAGTTGAAAAGGGGCTCGACGTAGTTGTAGGAGAACAATCCCTTCTGGGAGATCGGCCTGCGCGTGCCTTTGTTCTCGTTCAATAGGACACGGAGTCTTGTAATTGCTAATCGTACTAGCTCGCGAACCTTTTCGGTGCTTGTCACACGGGGAGGTTGGCGTGTCTTGGGGGCGGCGAGAGATGACGTGGTACCAGTCGAGAGACTTGAGAAAGTACGCTTGCGCTCCGAGATCTCAGAGACAGCTGAGATCGAAACAAGAACACTTTTGATATCACCCATTTCTTGTCCAGAGATTTTCCACTCGCCCGCTGAAGAATGTAGAGAGTGGGTGAGGTACCTTATGTATCGAAAGGCAGGATAGGTTGGGACGAGGCAGGCGATCCAAGTGTCAGCAAAATACTACCTTCGGGGACACAGAGAGCCTTTTCTAATCATCGCGAGTCCTTCTGCCGGACGTCCACTGTAGGTATGGTCGAGGCAGTGGAACACGGCACTGCTCCACGATACTCAGAGCTCCCAGGAGCGAGCGAAAGGGCACAGGATTCGTCCTCATCGGACACGAAGTTGGTCACCTGGGTCCTCATTCAATCTCTAAGCGCCATATCCTCAATCTTCTCGGTTTCTCTTCCCAATGCTGACCTCTTTCTCCCCTGTAGCTCTGTTGCTCTGATTGTGGATGTCGCGTGAGCGATTTCTGACACATTTGTGAAGAAAGAGCAATGCCGCATACTACCTATGAAGTGCGCCCGCAAGTCGATACTTGTTTGGCATAGTGCGGTTGCTCATAAATGATCAGCCTAAGCATAATTGTTCGAGAGAAGGTATCGCGAGCTCTTGAGACTTCACACAAGTACAACGGAGGCATCTGGGCGAGTTATGTATGAGGGATTTGTCTTGGCGATCTAGTCAATTGGGGATTTGGGGGACGGGCGCTTGACACTACTTATTCACGGGGAGCAGTAAGCTTTTCTGGCTTTAGCATGTTCCCCATTCGCCGGTCAACTCCTTGTCGGCTTTCCTGTCTGGGGTAAAAGGCAGGGCAGCTGTGCGTATATGCAATGCGGTATTAATCTCCAACGCCTTTGGAGCTTTGACGGCAGTTCTCCATGCGGTGGCCCTTGCAAGTCTTCCTTTGTGTATAAGGAGGCCTCCTCGTTGTAAATAGTCATTCTACTAGAAGGAAGAAATACCTTTCACATGAGAAGGCCATCTTGAAAAATACCTCACCTTGACTTTAGTAGTCTCGTCACAATGATATGACCTCGCTTCTGACTGTCAGTGGAGCCGGACGTTGTGCGAGCTCCGACAAATGTTCTCTCGCCAATGTGACCCATGGCTTGACTAGTCGAAATGTCTGACCACGCCTCAAAGTCCTATTCAAGAACACAGACCTTCTGACAATATCCTTCCGGAGAGGGTGCTGTAAGTCAGTGGTTCTGTCGAAGTCGCATGTATTATTTCGACGCCGGGATGTTTGGAGGTTACGCCCTTGGCGAAAATCCCTCGTGGGTCTGAAGAAACCATCAACGGCTGCAGCTGCCGAAGCTGAGATGGCCCGCTTCTATTTGCTCCTTCATCGAAAACTTTGTTTCGTCTCGATCATGAGACGTATTCCGCGCAATGGAGCAGCATCTGGAGAGACAGATAATTAGCATATTGGTTTCCTTCGAAATAGAGCCTTCGAAATAGAGCCTTCGAAAACAGTCTGCGCATCCCCTAACGGAGCTATCATTGAAGTCTTTGTGCAAAGTTTCTGCATCATTCTTGACATTCTTCTCAAAGTAGGGTCTAGAAACCTTGGGTTTCTGAATCATCTCAAGTGAAACATCTGTCCGGTCTTCCCTATACCTTGATATCCCCAAAGCGAATCCGTCACAGATCATCAGCCCTGTGATCAAGATCCTCCCGAGTCTCAGCCATGGACATAGGTATTGATGAAGAGTCAACCAAGCTTTCTCTTGGCATTGAAGTCCCCATTCCCGGGCCAAAACGTATGTTGTCTGCAAAAAGCATTCCTTCCATCTGAATCTAGGAGCACAATGTTGATCGAGTCTTAGCATTACCTATCCTCGGCAACATCTTGGACATCGATCTCGTCAGCCCTCTGGACTCCCTTATTAGGCTTGTTGGCAAATACGGTAAATTTCTGGAGTATTCTGTTTTTGTCATACAATACAGGTGTGCAGATTCCATATGCTAATTTCCTAGGCCCCATTTTCTCTCTGACCTTTGCCGGCACGAGGGAGATAACAGTCTCAAGTCGCGAGCTTGTAAATGAAGTTAGCGATGAGGATCGATTTTGCAAGATCGTCACGAGTGGCGTTGAGACAATGCGAGCAGCAGCCGGCGATGGGCTCTTCACAGCGCAACACAACAATCATACTTGGGGTGTGGCACACCGCATCCTCATGCCGGTGTTTGGACCCTTGAAAATTCGCAGCATGTTTGACGATATGAACGATCTTTCTGAGCAGTTATGTCTCAAATGGTGAGCAGATTGTGATGCAACATCTGGACATCTCGTGACTATCTGGCTAACAACCGATAGGGCCCGACATTGTCATTCTGCACCTATTGAGGTGGCTGATGATTTTACTCCGCTGACATTGGACACTATTTCTCTCTGCGCCATGGATTATCGCTTCAATAGTTTCTATCTCGACAAGAAGGCTCATCCATTCGTGGAGAGCATGGTGGAAGTCCTCGCTGAAGCGGATCTACAAGCTGTTCTTCCTGACGTTTTCAGTCTCCTTCGGCCCAGAGCAATGTCCAAGTTTCGAAATAATATTGAGCAGATGCAGGCTACTTGTCGCGATATCATTGCTCAGAGGCGTCGAGCTAACGGCAAAAAGATGCCCAACGACCTCCTCGATGCTATGCTCAACGGCAAAGACCCGGAGACTGGTGACTCTCTGAGCGAAGAGGCAATCGTACACAACATCATCACTTTCCTGGTCGCCGGTCACGAAACTACTTCGGGTCTTCTGTCTTTTGCCATCTACTACTTAGTGGAACATCCCCAGGAGTTGAAGAAGGCACGGGAGGAAGTGGACAGGGTCGTGGGTCATGGCCCAATCAACGTTGACCATCTACAGCAACTCCCCTTCCTGGACTCTGTATTCCGGGAGACACTACGTCTGATGCCTACAGCACCGGGATACTACGTTACCCCATTTAAGGATGAGATCATCGGCGGCAAGTATCTAGTTAAGCCAGGTGAGGCTTTGTGTATTCTCCTGCACACACTTCACCGTGATCCCAAAGTTTGGGGTTCCGATGCGGAAGATTTCAGGCCTGATAGGATGAGAACCCTGGAAGGCATCCCTCAGAATGCCTGGAAACCTTTTGGCAACGGTATGCGTGGCTGCATTGGCCGAGCGTTCGCTTGGCAGGAGGCCCAGCTCGTGAGTAGCCCAATTCTCCAGATGCTGACCCCGTTTCTCATTTTCCTGGTGGCTCACGACTGTTGTAGGTCATCTCAATGATTTTGCGCAACTTCGACCTTTCTAAAGGCGACCCCGACTACAAACTCAAGGTCAAACATCTTCTCACCATCAAGCCCGCCAACTTCAAAGTCCGTGTTAGCTTAAGAAATGACAAACGCCCGACGGACTTCCTGAAAAGTCTGAGAACGATTTCGGAGCCCATTCCGAAGCTCATTGTCAATCCCATGGTGATCAGCCCTTCGTTGCTCGGCCCAATAACCATTCTATTTGGTTCAGATACAGGCACCTGCGAAGCAGTGGCTCAGAGAATCGCCGTTGAAGCTGGCCCAAAGGGATACAGCCCAATAGTCTTGACTATGAACGACGCAGTTGATCGGCTACCGCAAAATCAGCCTGTCATTCTTGTCTCTGCTTCCTATAACGGGCTGCCGTCTCGCAACGCAGCCAAGTTTGTGCCCTGGGTTCAAGGTCTCAAGCCCGGAGACTTGCAGCATTTGAAATATGCCGTTTTTGGTTGTGGTATGTTCTAGTTCCCGCAGATCCCTGATGATACGCACTGGTGGCTTCGCAGCATACACAAACTGACGATAAGTATCACAGGTCACAGAGATTGGCCAGCGACTCTGTTCAAAGTTCCCAGGTCTCTTGATTCAATTCTTGAGACAGCTGGAGGACAGAGGCTGTGCACACTGGGAGTCGCAGACACAGCAGCTACCGATGTGTTCTTCGAAGTTGAGAAGTGGCTGACAAACGACTTGTGGCCAATTCTCTTGGGATATTCTGCTACGAGAGCGACCAGACCAAAGTCGGATGTCGATGTGAAGCTCACGCTCGAAGATCCCCCACGGCTTGCTTTGCGCAGTGGCTTTGTTGCAGCCACAGTCAAGGATATTCGAGCCTTGTCGGCCGAGGGGGTCCCAGCAAAGAGACACCTTGAGCTAGAGCTCCCACTTGGGACAGCTTATCAGGCTGGGGGCCACGTCCACATCTTGCCGGTGAATGATGCACAGCTAGTGCGCCGAGCTCTATCGTATTTCAGGCTGAGCGGTGATGTTGTCCTCACGATTAAGTCTGAATCTGGACGCCCACTCCCGGTCCCAAGCAATACCCCTCTGACAGCGTGGGACCTGTTTGCATCTTATGTCGAGCTGACAGGTACGGCAACTCCTGGGAACATTCAGGTAATGAGTGAGCTGGCAGTCTCAGATGAGACCCGCAGAGTCTTAGAGGTCATGTCAAAAAGCTTGCTTGGCTCGGAGCCGCGCAGTAGGGGCCTCAGTGTCCTTGAAGTACTGGAGTCTTATCCGGATCTCAACCTCCCACTTTCGGAGTTCCTGATCATGCTACCTCGGATGCGTCCTCGGACATACTCTTTCTCCTCTTCCCCTGCTTGGCAATCCAATTCCGCCACCCTCACTTACACTGTTGAGAAGAAGGGTGTAGCTTCGAATTACTTGGCTTCACTCCGCCCAGGAAGTGTGTTCTTTGTTTCACCCTTGCCGTCGACACCTCAATTCTGCCTTCCGAGCGCAGCGACTCAAGCAACGACGCCAGTCATCATGATTGCTGCAGGGGCTGGTCTAGCCCCGTTCAGAGGCTTCATACAAGACCGCGCAATCTCACTACGTTCCGGTGCCACATTGGCGCCGGCGCTTCTGTTCTTCGGCTGCCATGGAAAGCTTCTCGATGACATGTATCGAGATGAACTCGATGGCTTCGAGGCTGAGAATGCTGTCAAGGTCTTCCGCGCCTTCAGCCGCGACGGAGATATGTCATGCAAGCATGTCACTGATCAGCTTCGGAACCATCTAGGGGAAGTCTCCGCTTTGTGGGAAGCAGGGGCAAATTTCTATGTATGCGGTGGAAAGAAGATTTCGGATTCTGTGTTCGATATCCTCACACCCACCCTGTTCAAGAATGAGAAAAATACAGGGAAAGGGGCAGGTGCAGCAGATAATGTCCAGAAGTCCTCTAGTATGGCTTCGAGTAGCAGATACGTTGTAGACGTGTTCAATTGAGCAGATTATACTGCTCGCTTTCTCAAAACTTTCCAATGCTAAAGCCAATAGGTTTGACAGGCTATTGCGCGCAACACGACGTGCCACAATCAATGCAGCATGGAGGAAAACTTTCTTGCAGGTCCATCAGTATTTACAACCGTGGATGTTGATAAGCCTTCGTAGAGGCGACCCATTTCCCTCGCAAATTATGTACTTCATTTGCGCTGATGTGAAAGAATGATATCAGGTCTCAGTTTCTCGTAGCCTTCCAATGCTCAGTCGTACGTTCTGCCTAGCTGACCGATCATCCGAAGACCTGCGCCCTTCATCTGACTAGCGCCCTGCCGCCGATCCGACATGACGCCTTTTACTTGACAAACTCATACGTCAGTAAAAGTAATTGCACACTAGTTTCGAAGTTGCGCCTAATCAAGGCCGATTCATAGATATAAGCACGAATTCTAATCTAGCCTGAATTTCTAGTACTGTCATAGACTCCTAGTCAATCATAATCAATAGCTCGCCTCAACCAACACCCATTCTAATATCATCTCAGGCTCCGCATACCACCATGTCTAATCTTCTTCAGCCCGTTCTTGTCGGAAACAAACTCCATCTATCTAATCGCGTAGTTATGGGCTCTATGACACGCAACCGCTGCGTGGACGACTGCAAGCCAGGCAGTGAACAAATTCAGCACTACACAGAACGAGCAAAACATGGCGCAGGACTAATTGTCGCAGAAGGCACTTTCATCGACTGGCAAGGCTGTGATTGGAAGTGGGCACCTCTCATGATCACCGAGGATCATGCGCAAGCATGGAAGAAAGTGACAGCGGCTGTACATACGCAGGGTGGGAAGATTTACTTCCAGCCATGGCATCTTGGTGAGTGAACCCGCATGAGACGTAACGACTTGAAGTTCCTAATATGTGACTATCTAGGTCGCTGCCAAAATGAACAAATTCTTATTATGCAAGAAAAGCATCATCCGGTGGTTGCACCCTCCAAGATCCCGGCTCGAGGGGGCAAATACCGTGATCTTCCTGGCATTCCGGTAAGAGTCTCACGACGTTCTAGAAAATTTCATTGACTCATCTAATTTGTTTCAGGGGCATACTCATAACATCACCGAAATTGAAGATCCGCGCGCCTTTGTCAACATGTATCGACGCTCTGCCATCCTCGCTAAAAGGGCAGGTTTCGACGGTATTGAGCTCTTAGCTCAAGGGTAAGCGCCGGCGTAGTTATGGCATGATACCTCGCTAGATATGATGAAGATCACTGACACAGGCACAGCGGATATCTTCCTCAACAGTTTCTCAACTCGTAAGTGCCCCTCACCACTGGTTTTCATTGTGGTTTCACTCTGACATAGCGAAAGACGCGCGAATACCCGCACCGATGCGTATGGCGGCTCGGTCGAGAACCGGTGTCGATTCATCCTGGAGGTGTCTGATGTTCTGGCCGAAGTGTTCGGTTCCGAGTTCGTCTGTATCAAAATCTGTCCGACAGATCAGACAAACGACTCTGTTGTGACTTATGAAGAGATGAAGGATGTTTATACCCACCTCATCGAAGAACTCGTCAAAAGACGGATTGGCATCATCAATCTTTCGCGGCGCGGTGCAAATCACGATACCGGAACAGGAGAATTCTTTGGGAACACCACACGGCCGGATGGCTTCCCTTTACCACTGGGTTATGATCCGGTCATCGACTTCGGACCTTTAGTCAAGTTCCCCGGAAGTCCTTCGATGCTTATGGCCAACTACGATTATACAGTCGACGAGGCGAATCGTCTGGTAGGAGAAAGCAAGTTGGATTTGATCACGTTTGGCCGGCCCTTCATTTACAACCCAGTGAGTGTCTTATCCATCATGCATTTCAGGCTTCATTCTGACGTTGTCACAGGATGTCATCTTTCGAATTCAACATGGCATTCCTTTTGCAGAAAACAATCGAGGCAATACTGTTCATTACGGACCGTTTGAGGAACCAAATCAAAACTATAACGATTGGCCCGTTGCTGCTGTTTAGACAGCTTTATGTTCCTACAGGATGTACTGGTAATCCTGATAGCTATGATCACATGGTGGGAAAATTTCACGAGTTGCGCATACAAGTATGGGGGAAGGGATCTCGAGTTTTAATTACTAGGTAGTCATTGGGATACATCGGAGCAAATTCGGTGTGGTCAGAGATTCGATGTTCTTTTCACCAAAATGCTAATGCTCAAGCCTTATGCCCCTTTCCCAATTGACCCCTCCGATCTTTGTTTATGCAGATATTTCGGACCATCATTTCGTGTCTTCATCAAGGTAATGGCAGATCATGACTACGCCTCTATGTCTCACGCCAGCTGGAGATACGGCTGGCGATGACCAACCACTTCTTCAACGCTCGAGGTGACGGGCATATCTTTCGAACAACCCGCCGATGTAGCTTCGGTAGTCCTCTCAAGCTCTTTCAAAGCACGGAAGCCTCCTCGAACACTTTCGGCCTCAAAGCCCTTTGCACGCAGGACACTGGTTGCTACTCTAGCGCTGTCGCCGTCGTAACACAACACTAGAATAGGCTTCTGGCGGTGTTCTTCCAACTCTTTGCCGACGTCTTTGTTCGAATCAAATGTCGCCTCCAGCTTGAGCCATAGTTGTTCCAGAACCTTCGAGTCGGAGAACGGTTTCCAGTCACTAGACTCGACGATCGGAATATTTTCGGAACCTGCGATATGGTGCGTTTGGTAGTCTTGGCAATGTCTCAGATCGAGAATGATCGTGTTTGGAAGGCGGGGGATAAGTGCAGCACTACTCGTATCGACATAGCGTGGTGTGCTCGGCAAATGGGTTTCGTTCGTCTGGATAGCACTCGCGGACGGAATTTGCATGAAGACTTCAGTCGCTGTCTTTTCCCATGCCTCATCATAGCGGTGAAGATCAACCTTTGTAAGGTTCTAAGAGAAATTTCAGTCTTCTGTTGGAGTATAATATGGAAAATGTGGTTGTGCATACCTCGTTGTGGATTGCAGGAAAATGCTCAGGTCCCAATTTCGCAAAGTACTCATCGATGTACTGGTAAGGCAAGTCGCAGCAGACAAAGACGCAGTGGATCTCGCCAGAATCGTCGGCTAGTTCATTCAGATTGCCTGCCGCGATACGCTTATCAAGGAACTGGTAAAGGCCTTGCAGGTTGAAACCTGAGGACGGGCCGGCGATGAGGCCTTGTCTGCACAGGTCCAGCGAAAGTGAATAGGAGTGTTGAGAACCGACATGCTCAACGTGGTCGACTGCGGATCTCCATGGAAACTCGACGGGTTGAAGAAGAGCGTAAGAACGGGGGCCAGGAACACGGTCGCCAGGCGCGGTGCAGACACCCAGCCTGTATACTGACGGCTTAGCCTGCTTGAAGTAGGTTCCAAGACCAGTGAGAGTCCCTGGTAGTATGTTAGGCGTTGTCTACAAGACGGAGTTGACATCTTTCCTACCAGAAGTACCCATTCCTGCGCAAATGAGAGAAATTTGAGGCAACTGCTTGAAGATTTGGGGCCCAGTCCACCGCACATGAGACTTCCAATTCTACCACAATGTGTTAGTGCCCCCTCATCACTGATAGGCGCTAGATTACACCTACATCGTCATTTTCGTATTGGTTTGGGTTGAGTGCAGTGCCCTTATCGCTGCCCATGTTTCTTGCGGCACAAATGCCTCCTCGTGGGTCTAAAGGCTCAGGTTGAGAAGGGCCTCCAAACAAGGTGCTAACGAGCAAGTGGTCAGCTATGCCGTCCGAGGATCAACAAATACCTGACAATAAAAGCAGAGTATCTTACATGTCCAGACCGAAGAACTGCATCAGTCTTAACTTCGCCTGACTTGTCTTGTTGCTGAGAAAGGCTCGAACATCTGGCACGCCGTAATAGACTCTGGAAGCCAATGACATAGAGATGACCGTTGAGCCGGAACTGTACTCGACTATGGTCTCTGTCTCTCCCGGAACAACCCCATTCTGGAGCAGATTAAGTGCTGGCATAGCCTTGACGTTATTCGCAGGATGCATCGACATCATCTTGGCATAAATCCGGACGCCATGCTGACGATAGGGGTTCAAGGCTTCGGGTACCTCGACTAGTGGCAGCGGCGGGGCAACGTCAGGATCGAAGTAGTTCCTGACGGAATCTGGCCCTGTATAGACATTCAGGTGATTTGGTTGGGCCATTACTTCTGATGTTCCTGCGGAGGACTTTGGGAAGAATTATGAAACAAAGAAGGGTGATATCGAACGGCACTGATTATCAGATGGTCTCATTATCGGAGACTGCGAGTGCTACTTTATAGTCTCTATTGCTCTCGGGCTACGTTACCCATCGTCTGAGGTGTCTAGAAAAGAGAGAAATTACTCAGCTATACAGCTAAGGCTATGATTCGACAGCATCACTTGATCATCCTCCCAGACACGGCCACCCTTACACGCCGCATATACCCGCGGTCAGTGGACCATCATCTGGCAATGTAACTCTGCTGTGACATTTTTAGAGGGCAACCATGAAATCTAAACGCATGAAACTCGGCCTCTCAGTGATGTCGGGCATCCTTTCTGCTCGTTTCCATCCCACATTCCCGACCATTCTCCAATAATGACGGATGTCGACAACCTCCAGAGCCTAGACTAACGCGATGCCCCTGTCAACATTGGTCAACACCACACTAAAGAAAGCCGATCGACACGAGTCATCAAGGTTATTCACGTTTGCTGACACCAGGCATGTCTGTCATTAAGGTACCTTGTGAGACAGGCGACATCCTGCGTCCTGCAAGGGCATACGTAACGACATCGTGCCGATCATCCTCCTGGAGAGTAACAGCAGACCCCAAGAGACAACTCAATAAAGTCGTAATCCGGCTCAAAGGTGCCGTGCTGAATGGATCCAAAACCGTTGCGCTTCGACGATATATAAAGAGAGCTCAATTGCGAAGTTTTGGGGGAGTTAGTTTGCGCTCGTTTCCCCAAGTTGAGCATGTTTCGCGGGAGCACCCAGCCAATCCACAAGGGTTCTCGTTGCCAAGCCCATCCCTGTCGGACGGGGTCAGATCGTCAGATGTCCGGGCAGGGGTTTCGTTTCCACCGGACCACTTACCGTCACGATAGTCTTGGAAACAAGCAGTAGTCACAACTTGGCATTCGGCAGTATAGAGACACAGATCAGGGGTTCTCGTGTTTAACAACGCACTGATGCGACTTTGAGCATGTCGCCATTTACCCTGATGGCCGGAGGTTCGGTCTCCGATCCTGCGAACGGCCGACGCCTGGGGGCTTTCTCCTTAGTCTAGTTGCTCGCATCTTTTGAGCTGGACGCACGCAGCCACATTTCCTTCTTTCCTTCTTGAGTAAGTCAATGCTTATACTCTATCTTCAACATGGCCGCTCCAAACGAGAAAACCAGTGGCATCCTGACTGAAGCTGCTTCTGCTCCAGTAGTTGGACAGCTTACAGCTGGGCCCAGCCCAGAGTTGGCGAATAGCTCCGAAGACGAGAAACCTACGCATGAGTTCAACGAACAGACAAACTATGTTCGTCCAAGGACTATCATCACAGTAAGTTAGGTTGTAGTTCAAACGGATTCGAACACTTTCTGAGACTGATCATCTCTTTCCAGATCTTCCTGGCTTGCGCCAGCGTGGATCTCGTCGCTCTCATGGACCAGACCACGCTCGCAGCTAGTCTTAACATCATCGGCAACTCTCTCAATGCCAGTAATCAGACAGCATGGATTGCCAGCGGATACTTCATGTAAGTGCAAGCGATCATCTATCACGGTAGCAAGGTCACTAATTGATTCAAACAGAACATCCACTGTCGGCCAACTCCTCTACGGGCGTCTATCAGATATCTGGTCGCGAAAAGTAATCCTACTCATTGGCTTGGCGATCTTCTTCACAGGCTCTCTTGCCAGTTCAGTATCAAATACTGGGACTCAACTCATCGTCTTCCGAGCCTGGACGGGTATTGGAGGTGGTGGTTTGATGACCGTCGCGCAAATGATCGTCAGCGATGTGGTTCCGCTTAGGGAAAGGGGCAAGTATCAGGGTATCTTGGTAAGTCATTCGCTGCCTTACTCGGTACTGCGTGGTCACGGGATCGAGCGACGAAATCAGCATTCTGCGAGCCACGAAATCATCGTTCTTCTCTACAGTTACTGACACCATTGAAGGGTTCTGTCGTTGCTATTGCAAATGGTATAGGGCCAGTCATTGGCGGAGCTCTTGCTTCCCAGTCCAAAGACTCATGGAGATGGATCTTCCGACTCAACATGCCACTCACTCTTCTATGTACGCTCTGCGTCATCTTTTTCATGCCGCTTAGGAAAGTGGAAGGCAACTGGAAGCTGTGAGTACCTATTCTATCCGAACGCAACCTGTTGAAATTGGGACACTGCTAACGTCATGCTCAGCAAGCTCAAAGCCGTCGACTTTGTTGGGAGCTTCCTTGCTTTGGCTGGAACAACCGTACTCATGCTCGGCTTGACGTGGGGTGGAGGCGACCATCCTTGGAACTCAGCGCACGTCATTGCCACTCTCATAGTCGGCTTCTTCGTCTGTGTCGGCTTCATCCTTTGGCAGTGGAAAGGCGCTAAGTTCCCTCTCGTGCCATGTGAGTTGACTCCATTGACTGTTGAGAGGTTGAGACTGATTGTGGCCTCTAGTGCACATCTTCAAGTCGAAGATCGTGAATGGCGCATGTATCACCATGGCAATCAACGGATGGAACTTTGTCGTCCAGGTCTATTACATCCCCGCCTTCTATCAGCTAGCCTACGGGTACTCAGCAACGAAGTCCGGCGCCATGCTTCTCCCAGTCACTTTGACGCAAACGCTTTTCAGCACGTTGGCAGGTCTCGTAGTACACAAAGTTGGGCGTTACCGAGAATGCATCCTGCTGGGTTGGGTGATGTGGGCCGTCGGCATCGGTTTGATGTCAACTCTCGACGAGTTTTCAAGCGTGGGGAACCAAGTTGGATACTCGCTGCTTGTTGGCGCCGGTGTTGGCAATACATTACAGCCGTGAGTGATGCATAAAAGCCTTTGTCGAATTACTGAGTCGAGCTAACTAACACACTTCAGGGCACTGATCGCGATCCAGGCCGGTGTGAGCAGAAGGGACATGGCTGTGGTTACTTCCTTCAGGAAGTAAGTTATCTTCATATCATCTCATGTGGCAATATATGACTGACAATGCATAGCTTCATACGTAATTTCGGAAGCACTATTGGACTTGCCATCTCTGGGACAATCATGTGAGTCTACACATCCTTCCGACTCCACAAGTACCCACGATATCCTCCAGCATAATTGACTTGTGCTTTACAGTAATAATATCCTGGCAAGCAATATAGCTAGCCTTGGGCTGGGAGATGACGAGTCTCGGAAGCTGCTCGCAAACCCTCAGCAAGTGCTTTCCAACCTACCTCAAGCCGAGGCACAAAGGCTAAGGGCTGCAATCTTGCCTGGCTACAGGAGGGCGTTCCGTATCATCTTCCTGGTAATGGCAGGACTTGCAGCCATCGCATTCTTTGTGGCGTTCTTCTTGATGCCACAAGTAGAATTGAGCAGACCTGACGATGCCAAGTTGAAAGAGGAGGCCCGTGGAAAGGAGGACAAAAAGCCAGTCGATGAGCCGGAAATAAAGGCTTGAAAATATCTGTAATTTTCCAAAAGCGAACATACAGCGAGCTGAAGACTTCATGTTGAGGATGTGTCGATGATAATGCTCCCTCGGCTCGCTTAGACGCGAAGTCCGAGAGCTGTATCCAACAGCAATCCTATGATACGCAGTCTCTGTGGAGTCAGACTTCTTCCCCAATTCTCACATCCTCCATGCACCCTGGTATCCAAACACACAAGCGTCGAAAAGATCTCTCTCACAATCCCGCTTAGTTGCACTTCGCGCCGCAATGAACGTGAGGGTAGTCATCGGGGCAAGTGCACCTGAGCCACAAGAACTTGTCCTTGCATCTTCCCATAGTGCAGACACCGTTGTCATCCGTGCAGGCAGTTCCCTTGGACGAGAATGTAAAGGGTTGACAGCTCTTGGTGATTGCCGTGACGGTACCGGCTGCGTAAAGTCCGGTGAGGATGAGAGACAGCTTCATCTTCTATCTTCAGGTCAGTACAGCATACTGTGGAAAGTCACGCCTCTTGGTGAATGACCTACGAATAAAGATATTGGGTCAAAATCAATGGTTTATTAGACTGTTTGAAGAGTTGATGTAAGGTTGACAGGCAGTGTGAACCCATAGCCTCAAGGACACGCCTTGATTTAAATCTGTAATGAGACTCACGTTACCAGATGTTAGCACCAAAGATTTTCGGTCATTAATTTGCTGAGTCCAAGTCAGAGAAACTTTGTTTATACGAGTTGTCGTGACCAGACTCATGCCATGGTCATTTCTGCTGTTCCCACCGTTGTAACTAACCAGGGCCCAGGTTGTCAACGACTGGTCCTGTGGACCCATCAGGCGCTTTGCATCATCAGAGAGTGTGGGCTATCTGTACAACGATCTGAGGTTCTTTGGTTAGTTGACAGAAATGCACATGTTGTCCAGCTCAAAACCGACATCAACTGGATTAAGCCAATTGCGAAACATGCTCAGTCACACAAGGATTATTTAGTAGGTTTGTGAGCCGGGATATCTCCTCTTGATGCGTGAACGATTTCTCGCAATCTTGAAGTATCGACAAGAAGCGATCAGGGGATCAGTTGTAGGGTCCGCCGTAGTGGTCTGTACAGAAGAGTGCTAGCTGCCACGGCGCGGCGTAAGTTGCCGAAAATTTGGGAAAGCGACCCATCAATTGACGGCACCAGAGACTTTGCTTCTGTGGTCCAGCTAGTTGCTCTGACTCGCTCACGGTACCAAAAACAGCTAAATATCGTATTCCCTGAAGATCGCTCTGTTTCGCACAATTCGTCATTACTCCTGATCTCTATAAGAGATTGATGTAAGACGTAGGCATCTCCATAGACCCAAACTTTGTTGTCCGCGTTACCGGTTGCGCGGCGCCATCTTCGGCACTGCCGAAAGAACAATCACTACATGTACTGATACCGCAAGTCAGCACGGTGAAGCAATCACTGTAGCGTCATGCCCAACATTTGAAAGAAATGAGGAAACGAGTGAAGGAAAGTTGCACGGGCCGCAATTGTAGGGGCTCGGGAAGATATTGCCTGAATACAGGTTCATGTAAAGCCAGCGCGGGCCGCAAACTCAGTTAGACCATTATCCCTGGAAGCTTATTCTTATTAATTCCTGTTTTAAACTACTGATCAAAAATGTGAGGCTGACGGAACTGCCATTGTGACTCAGTAGTGTCGCTACTTGGAAAAAATCCGAGACCGCCGGTACTCCATATCAATGATCATCCATGTTAGGCCGAGATCAGAAACCAGGAAGGATTGACGTGAAGTTGTATCAACCGAGAAGCCATGATCAGAAAGGTAAGTATTAAAAATAATAGCAAAGGAACCTCTTTGAAGCTATACTCCTCAATTTGGGCTTACACCAACGCCTGTAGACGTTGAAGGCATCCAACGAAATCAGACATGTCAAGACCACTGACTAGTGGCCACACTGATGATCGATAGCTTCATGTTTTCTGCTCAGCATGCCCTCTGGTGGTTGGCGACGCGGAACAGCACCTGCAGCATGTTTCTAACAACATTGAGATCGATAGCGTCTGGTTCTTGGAGGTACGAATGCCTTCCTGACATCGTGAGGCAGGTGCAGTTATCTGCTTCAATGGGACAAGGGTAGGCTGGCCCCCGTGCGGAATACTTCGACGATGTGTGTGTCCCCGAGCAGCAGGGGAAGCTGTCAACGAGGCACAGCCCAACCTCTTTTGGAGGGGCAAACGCGTAGAGCATGCCGGCAGCAATACACAGAAACATCACGTCAAGGACAAAAATGTGTAGATGCCTATAAATGAAACGGTTTCTAGACGGTGCAAACCAGAACCCGAGATCAACGAAGGATCCAATCCCAGTATTACTCTCCAGCCACCCACAACCCAAGGGTTTTACCAGCAGCGCCTTTCATGGGTGAACCATTCTCTCCCAAGGGAGAAAAGGCCACCATTAGTTATGCTGCGGCGGGCGGCCGTTGCTATCTGAGGAGAGGAAAAGGGAAAAGAGGGAGGAAAATACGCGCGAGGTCGACGCGGTTTTGTGTGCCACGAGAGAATTTTCTAGGCTGGTCTGTGCGGGAGGCGATGCTTAGCTAATGATTACCCGGTGGATCCTGTCCTTACCCTGAGGTTCTCGTCTAAGCTTTTTTCCGGCCAGCGCCCAGCGTGGTTCCTGTCCCTTTGCGGCGTAGATCACGTGGTCAAGAAAGCTTAGGAAGTGGTCTGCGCTGATTGGTCAACGGGTAACCGAAAAGCCGAGGGGATTCCCGTGCTTCGCTTCAATCGGAGAGTCCAGCGATCCAAGGCGCAGAGTCTCCATTTATTCTTCTTTGGTGCAAGGAGCTTGACATCAACACCCTCAAACCCCCGACGACTCGAATCCCCTCCGCCTACGGCCGAATTGCCTACGCGCTCTCCCCGATATCGAAATCGTACCGATTACCAAATTTCATCACGCCTAATACCGACACAATGATTGCGCAAAGGGTGGGCGTGTCGGCCATGCGCCGAGGTTCGTTTACATCATCGAAGCCCAGGATGGAATAGAGGACAATGGAAGGCTGATGAGATACAATCAACAGCGGCAGCAAAGCCCTCCGTTTTCTTCAACCAGCAGATCCCCAAGATCGTCGCTTCACAAAGCATGTCGACGAGCCAGTCTCGGTACGCAATTGGCCCTTCCGCGTCCCGTCTCCCCTTTGTGTTTGAAGCACATGCTCCCGACTATTACCTCACAGACGAAGCAAACATCCAGTCATACAAACATTCGATAAACCAGTATCAAAATACTAATTAGTTATCCAACCTCACAGCCCCGTCGCAACCACCAAGCTCACCCCCCAAGATGGCCTCGAGCTCCTCGCAAAGCAGCGCCTCAGCCGCCCCATCTCCCCGCACCTGACAATCTACAAGATGGAGCAGACCTGGTTCGGCGCCTCCATTTGGACCCGTATCACCGGCGGCGGTCTCTCGGCCGCCTTCTACGTCTACTTTGGCACGTACCTCGTCGCGCCCCTCCTCGGCTGGCACGTCGAGAGCCAGTCCCTCATCGCCGCCTTCGGTGCTCTCCCGCTCGCCGCGAAGGGCGGCCTCAAGTTCCTCGTCGCCTGGCCTTTCACCTTCCACTTCTTCAACGGTATCCGCCACTTGACCTACGATTTCGCCCTCGGCTTCGCCAAGCCTGAGATTGTCAAGTGGGGCTGGGTTATCTGGTCCAGCTCGCTCGTCGCGGCTGTTGGCCTCGCCTTTGCGTGGTAAATGGAGAACTTGACTGGGAAGCGCTGAAAGGGTCGGTGGACGTGATGGCACGTGGTAATCGGGTACAGGGACGCGGCAAGGGGACGACGGTCGGTCGCAGAGACAGACGGGGACGAGAGGAAGACGAAGAGTGATGGAAGACTTGGGGGGTAACCTGGAGTTTTATTGGTTGGCGCCTGGAAATTGCTAGGCGTACGGCCTCCCTAAGCTTAAAGCGAGAGGGATTGTATAGACTGAAAGCTGTAAAACGAATTCCCTTGAGTAACAAGCATGTTAATCAATTGTTCCAACCATTCTGTGTGCACTGAGTGTCGGCCGTAAGCTTTCATTCCTCAGGGACAGCACAAACGGAACAACATATTAAGCTGATATCCACCTTGAGGACGAGATTCGCGCCGGGGCAGAATGGCATCAGCACAGTGGATCAAATTGACATCCTCGTCAGTCTTGCATATGAGCTAGAAGGCATAAGCATCACTCGAGACACAGTGGATGAATAATAGATTAACTGCTAGACGCCAATGGTCTCAATTTATGTGGTATGCCTCCCTAAAACCATGTTTTGCCATGCCTGATCCAAACGCCGTTACGCCTCCTAAAGACTATCACTACAAGCCAGACTGCTACTCAATATTCCTAGCATCCAAGACGTGTTTGATCAGTCTTCGGTTGCCTAGGCTATTCAGCCGCTCTCCGAGGATGGGCCCGATGAACTCATTGAGCTCATTGGCATAGCTGTTGGCGCTTCCGTTGATGCCATTGACGGTTGTTCTGTCATCCTCAATCATCGTAGCAATAGCCTTGAGAATTCCACCCACGAGCATCTCAAACTCGATGCTCTCGCCCTTGTCCTTGAGAGGCTGCAGAATGTTATCGTTGTAAGCCCTGAGGCACTTGAGCACCAGAACCCGCACCGCCTCAGGACCACCAGCGGAGGCAACGCCCGTGATGGCACCAAAGTGCGTGGAGGGCGGCTTATCGGGGTCCATGAAGAACTTCAAGCATGTCCGCACCAACTTGGGGCGTAGCAGATTATTAGAGGCGGCGTACTTGCGCGCAATCTGGCCAAGGAGCGACGCAGAGAATTCTCTGAGCTGGTATTGCTCACGCATGGCGTCCGCACCATCCTCGGCACCGATTTTACGGCTAAGGATGCACGTGAGCACGGGGGAGGCAATGGAGTTGGCGTAGGGGTCGAGGTAGAGCTTGGTGTTTGCGATGAGGGCGGCCGTGAGCTCCATGGCCTGGCGAAGTGTGAAGACGTCGTCGAGACGGTGGGTGACCTGGTTCGCGACGAAGTTTATAAAGTAAGGAATCAGCTGGTGCAGACCCGGGTCGTCGCGAACGGATTCGAGGGCCGCCTGGCGAAGGCGCACCACCTCTTCGTCGGGGTTGTCATCAAGTACGGCGTTTTGAACCTTTTCGAAGTAGAGGATGAGTTCCTTGGAGACGACGTGCTTCACAGCGGGACGGAAGGAGAGATTGTCGTTGCCGGCGAGGGCAGCGAGGGCAGGGTTAGCACCCTGGCCCTTGGGGACGAGTTCTTGACTTCGAGATTCGGCCGTGGTGGGGTTCTGCGGGATGGAAGGTTGAACGCCTTCGATGGCGAGCCAGTGTGCTGGATATGCAGCGGTTAGCAGACGCTACATTTGGAGGTTAATTATAGGAAATGAAAATCACGTACCCGTGAAGCTCATATCACGCGGCACTTTGGGCAGAGGAGCGTTGATGAGCTTCTCAAAATCGACCTCCTCGTCTTCGAGGTAGAAGAGCGGTTGCCCGGGTCCCAAGCTAGCCTCGCCATATCGCAGTGGACGCGTCGAGTCGTATCCGTAGAGAGGCTCAATATTGAGAGCCTTGAGCGCGGTGCTAATGTCGTTGACGGTCAGAGTGGTGCGACGGGAGGCACGCATGAAGCGCAGCGCCTCGACGAGGACTTGTCCGATTCGATACTCGACATCCTGCGTCAGGCAGCGCAATGCATCGTCGTTAAGATTGGGAATTCCGACGGACTCGGCGACGTCTTTGACATTGTCTGGGTTCCAGAGGAGCTTTGGCGCGTCCTGTTGCGCCATCGCGCCGGTGGTATATAAGTTCAAATGGTGAACGCGACGACGAAGATGCTTGTGTTGGAGAAAGAAGACGAGGCTGGGTGATGGAAACTTGGGGTAGGACGGACACGGCTAAGCTAGGGGATGAGCTCGGGACGCCGCAGCGCAGATTCAGCCCACTGCACGGTGGAAGGTGGGATCCTCGGTGTGGGGCCCACAGGAATCAGCAGCGGAAGGTGCATCTTGTCGGCAAGTTTCTACAGAAACATACAGGTACGTAGCTCTTCCATTATTTTTCAAAATTAGATGTTGTTTGATAAAAGAGAATCTGCTCTTGCGTAATACCGATCCTGCTCTGTGGAGTGCCTGAATTACATTTATGAATATATTGATCAAGGGTTGACTGAACGCTGTCACGATGTGGGTGGGAGGATTTACACCCGTATTGCTCGTCTCTGGCTTCATCAAATCAGCCAGAAGACAACCAAGATTATTGACTTCAAATAGCGAGGTCGATAATACAGACTTTGCAAGCCATGTGTATATGTACCTGTTCCAACATAAAGGTTTAATCCCGTACCTCTGGCGTTCTTGGCACTGTCTGTCCTCCTGGATGGGGATATGCCTCGCCTGGTTATTCTTGGCCGGACGACATCATAGCTTCCAGGTCTAACAAAGTCAGACATTATAGCTTGTCATAATGTGCCTCTGATACAACGGTGTGTGAGATGATTGACCAAAACTCGCCGAGAGTCAGCCAACTCCCCTAACTCCATGTCCCCCCGATTCTTGTAACTGCGCCGTGTCATGACAAAGAGCGGAACGGCGCTAATGCAATTGGATTATTTTGTGGGTCTTCAGCCGGTGCCCGGGCCCGGAGATGCGGGCAACACCCATGCTGTGATGCCGAGAGCGAACGTGTAAGTCGACGAGGAGGGATGGTTTTTGGTGTATTCAGTGACTTCCTTTTTGGAGCTCTGTCTTGGGCTGACAAGTATAAAGGGCCTGCTGGGCCATGATGAGAGTCCCTTCTCTAACTCCAGCATTCACATCACTCACACGCTCTTACACTTCTTACACGCTCAAGAGCTTCTTCTGATCGTCTTCTTCTATCGTTCACATTACACTTCACATCAGTTCCTAGCTTGCTTTCACCATGGAAACCATGAAATATGTGCGGTAGGCTCTCCGCATATCCCTACTGACCTACGCAACCGTCTCTAACATTCTCAATAGCGTGGGCAAATCCGGCCTCAAAGTCTCCCAAATCATCCTGGGCTGCATGAGCTTCGGCGACAAAAACTGGCAGCCCTGGCTCCTCGACAAGGACGAGGCCCTCCCCATCCTCAAGTACGCCTTTGACCGCGGCATCAACACCTGGGACGTTGCCGACACCTACTCCAACGGCCGCTCCGAGGAAATCGTCGGGGCAGCCATCAAGGAGTACAACATCCCGCGCTCCAAGCTCGTCATCATGTCCAAGTGCTTTCAGTTCGTCGACGAGAACAAAGGGCCAATCGACCCGGCCAACTTGACCAGCAACGAGGGGCCCCGCGTGAACCAGGTTGGCCTCTCGAGGAAGCACATCCTCGAGGCGGTGGACCGTAGTGTTGAGCGTCTCGGCACCTACATCGACGTGCTCCAGATCCACAGGATGGATCGCGACGTGCCCCCCGAGGAGATTATGAAGGCCCTTCACGATGTTATAGAGAGTGGCAAGGTCCGCTACATTGGCGCCAGCTCAGTGAGTCTTCAGCCAGGACACTCCTCTCACTGTTCCCTTCCATTTACTAACAATTGCCAGATGGCCGCCTGGGAATTCCAAATGCTCCAAAACGTAGCAGCCCGCAACGGCTGGCACCAATTCATCTCAATGCAAGGCCTCTACAACCTCCTCTACCGCGAAGAAGAGCGCGAGATGAACGCCTACTGCAACGCCACCGGCGTCGGCCTCTTCCCCTGGTCGCCCCTCGCCGCCGGCGTCCTCACGCACGCGTGGACCGACCGTTCGGATCCCCGCGAGCAAAAGGATCCCTTCTTGCAGATGCTGTTCCGCGGCGCGGAGAACGGCGCCGACAGGGCCATTGTCGGGCGCGTCGAGGAGCTGGCGGGAAAGAAGGACGTGAGTATGGCACAGGTTGCGCAGGCGTGGCTTATTTCAAAGGGGTGCATGCCTATCTGCGGGTTGGAGACCAAGGAGAGGATTGATCAGGCTGTGGGCGCTTCAAAGGTTGAGCTTTCTGAGGAGGAGGTCAAGTATCTCGAGGAGGTGTATGTTCCGAAGTTACCCATGCCTTTCTAGGTGTTGCATTTGCTTTGGTGCCGTATTTAGGTTTAAGTCGAGTCAAATCAAGTCAGCTCACTGCCCTTGTCCTGTTCCCTTCAGTTCTGGAGGGCGTGCGAAGTATGCAGATTTGATATCAACATTTGATCTGGTTTCTCCATACCAAAGTTCCAGAAATTCCATGTAAATGCGGCGAATACCAGCATATGGTAGCACAAGAAACTCACAAAGCCTTTTATGCAGGCAGATCCTCACATTTGTCCCGCGTCGGCATCGGCAAAATGCACGTCATGCGCCTGAACAGAAGCAGTAGCTTCAGCAGAATTCCCCAACCTGCAGGAGTGACTATCGAGTCTAGCGTCATCATCTAGACAATGGTGACTTGATGTCTAAGATGTTGATTCGCCAGACTTGCTTGCCGCTAAGATGAGTCTCGCGGGGGGTTTGACCTGTTAGCGGATTCGGTACCAGCAGAGCCCCTCGGCTGGAATTGGAGGAAACCAGACAGACACTACCAGATAAGGGAATCTGACGCCATGGTTGAATAAACTCCGGAAAAGGTCAGCTTCTGGGTATGGGGGCAAGGCTCGCTCTGCGCTTGCGACATTTTTGTTCAGCTCAGCCTTGCATTCAGAAGTGTCGCGACTTGCAATATCTTCTGTAATCATTAATATAAGTGACGATGGAAGCTTCAACCGGCATAGACGGAAGGCACGAGGCGCCGGCAGAGGAACGGAACGAGCCCAACGAAGAGAAAAGCAGCATCCGGACGGCGCAATCGACAATCGACGATGACCGATCCAGCAGACTAACGTCGAGCGCGCTCGACGAGCTCAATGCGTCGCACATTGACAGCAGCACCTCTTTGTCGCTGAGCATCGACACAGACATCAGCGACGCCGACTCGGCCATGGGGATTGACGTCGGCCGCGCCTCCTCGTCTGCCTCGGTGGCATCGAGCGTGTACCGCTTTGTGGAGGAGTTTGGCAGGACGTATCACGCATATAAAGAAGGAAGTAAGTCTGCGCGACCGCATGCAGAAACTTACCTTTTGGAAGCCTACTGACTGACTCCTCGCTCGTAGAATACTTCCTCCCCAATGATGAGGTTTGCGAAAGCCCCCTTACATGCGATATTGCCAAGTCCGTGAGTAAAACTAATACACCCCCGAGCAAGAGCAAAGCCGCCTAGACCTCCAACACGCCATCGCCCTGCGCATCTTTAACGACAAGCTCGGCCTCGCCCCCGTCTCCAACCCCCACCGCGTCCTTGACATCGGCACAGGCACCGGCATCTGGGCCATCGAGTTCGCCGACAGGTACCCGGCATCGGATGTCCTCGGTACGGACCTGAGCCCCATCCAGCCAGAATACGTGCCCGCCAACTGCCATTTCGAAATCGACGACGCCGAGGACGAGTGGGCGTTTAGCCAGAAATTCGACTACGTCCACGGCCGGTACATGTGCACCTCTATCTTTGACCTTCCCAAACTCTTTGGGCAGATCTACGAGAACCTCAACCCGGGCGGCTGGGTCGAGTTTCAGGAGACCGTCATCGACTTCAAGGCGGTGGACGGGTCGCTTGAGGGTACGGCGCTGCGGCGGTGGAACGATCACCTGCTCGAAGGGATCCGCAAGGCCGGGCGGGATGCGCTCTCTGCCTTTGAGTACGCGCGGCACATGACGGACGCGGGGTTCCAAAATGTCGAGCAAAAGAGGTTTGCGGTGCCGGCGTCGCCGTGGGCGAAGGGGAGGAATCAAAAGATTCTGGGCGCCATGCAGATGACGAATAACCTCGAGGGGGTGCAAGGTATCACGATGAAGATCTTTTGCCAGGTGCTGGGCTGGACTCGAGAGGATGCCGAGTTGCTGCTCATGGATGTGAGGAAGGATATGGCGGATAAGAATATCCACGCGTATATCACGACGTGAGTCTTTCCTCCCCGTTTCATTGTTGTATGCTACCGGCGCTGACGATGGGTGTAGTATGTCGGTTTGGGGACAGAAACCCCAGGAAGCGGGACGGTCGGCCTCCTGAATCGGTGGATTTTGAGTTCAAGATAGTCGTAAATTTCTTTGGGTAGGCGGAAGAAGAAACATCCTCGCGACCGTTGCGAAATAGAGTGTCCGTATGGGGGACATGCATCCTATGGTGTTGAAGCACGTCTCGTTCTCGCATTGCATTGAAACTCCGCCATGTTGCGGAGTCGAAGATGAAAAAGAGTTGCTGTTAATAACTTGCCGCGACAGCTGTCGTCCAAGACGTTGGGGTAGTTGGTCAGCCTGTATGCAAATACGATTCATGTTCCGTTCCTCTCATGTAAGAGCTACCTTGGTTGAAGAATGGGCCTTTGAGAGTGATGTATGATCCCAAGCCAACCAGAAACCTAGCAGCAGACACGACCTTGAACACATCTTTGGAGTATTGCTTAGAGTCTTGGTCTCCTTACGGGAGGAAACGTGCGCGCGATACACGCATACCGCGGCACCCCCGAATTGCGATCCGTCATGCCGTCTGGCCTTGTGGATTCGAGCCGAGGCCGTCGAGTAGATGATCCACTTCCGATGGTCCCATGCCGCCGTGGAAACACTGGGAAAACCGACAAGGAAAAAGGGCGGTGCTATCACTCGTGTCACTGTGCCGTTGGGTTCCGTGATGTTCATGCCAAGTTGGCCGATGGTCCGGCGAATCTGTGCCGGAAAGGGCATCAACGCCGGTGGGGAGGGGCGCATCTTGGCTCTTGCCTCCTCTCCACGGAGCGGTACGAAATACATCCATCGGCGTTATGATGCCTCGCCCCATCGGCATTAAGACTTTTTAATTCGATTGTTAGTAAGCCACGTCTTCCACCAACTTGCAAATTCCACCGTGTAACGAGTCCAAGAGAAACCAAAAGAGACGATCTTCTTCGTCAAAGTTGTCAAAACTGGCAAACCCCACTCGCTCTGGCCGATTCATCCACTCGGCTCGCCGTATTTGCGATACGCCAACCCCAGACCCTTGAACCCCCTCCAGATGCTCGGATGCCCCTTCTGGCAAGGCATGGAAGCAGCCGGAGAGTTTATTCGCCCGCATTGCTTTGTCACACCAGCGTAAACACTCAGATTGACAGACACACCGCGGTAGTACGCCGCACTTCTTCGAACAAGAAGCTGTGGAGTTCTTTCCGCGGGACCACCGTGAAGAATTTGTTGGCGCGGGGTGTAGCATCATCTTCCACTGCCAGCTTACAGACTTGAGCGAGTCATACCAAGAGCAAGAGGTACATGCTAACGGGCCCGAATTTCAACCCCGACACATGTCACTCATCATCACTTTGTCTGAAAGAGGGCGTAGCATAGGGCAGGGGGAGAATTCAAGTGAAAAACCATTGGCGTGACGTCAACCTGACCAATTGGCGGGGTGAAGCTCTTCATGCACTCCCTCCCCCCCTTTCCGCACCTAGACAGCACATTCCGCAACCTGCCAGGGGGATAAGCTCAACGGCATCTTGGACAAGCTGCTTGTTTCCCAATGGTGGGGTCATGGCCTAAAGACAATTACCATGATGGCCAGACCGTCGATGGAGCTACCCATGTGTATGATGAAACTACAAAAGAGCTCGATGCCCCGCGCGAATAGACAAGTTTAAGAAGAAGCTTCAGCACACTCCAACTTTGATACCCAAGATACCCTCTCAAACCAAATCAAACAACTCTTCCAATTTTTTCCATCCTTTCATACACACACAAAATCACACACAATGGCTCCCAAGGTTCTCATCGTCCTCACCTCCGTCGACAAGACTGAGAAGTCTGGCAAGCCCATCGGCTGGTACCTGGTACGTTCCCATCTACCACCGTTCTTCCCACGTAAAATCCCGGTGAACTAACTGTCTTTCCCAGCCCGAACTCGCCCACCCCTTCGATGTTCTCAAGGAGGCCGGCGTCGAGATGACCTTCGCCTCTCCCAAGGGAGGCGTCGCGCCCCTTGACCAGGCCTCTGTCGAGATGTTCGCCAGGGACCCCTCCTCCAAGAACTTCCTTGAGAACCACAAGGCCATCTGGGAAAACACCGAGAAGCTCTCCAACTTTGTCGGCCGCGCCTCTGAGTTTGACGCCATTGTATGTCTCCCCCAAAACACACTTCTATCTAAGTAGACAGCACTAACACCACAACAGTTCTACCCCGGCGGTCACGGCCCCATGTACGACCTCGCCTTCGACGCAACCTCCCACGCCCTCATCGCCGAGTTCGCCGCCCAAAACAAGCCCGTCGCCTCCGTCTGCCACGGCCCCGCCGCCATCGTCAATGCCAAGCTCAACGACGGCACCTACCTCATCGCCGGCAAGACCGTCACCGGCTTCTCCAACACCGAGGAGGACCAGGCCGGCTTCACCCCCGAGATGAACTTCATGCTTGAGGACCGTCTCAAGGAGAACGGCGGCAAGTACGAGCTCGCCGCCGAGCCCTGGGGCGAAAAGGTCGTTGTCGACGGCATCGTCATTACCGGTCAGAACCCGGCCTCGGCTCACGGCGTCGGCAAGGCTATTGCCAAGGCTCTTGGCTTGTAAATTGAAAAGGACATGAGGTGTATGAAATATCATGATTGGGATCCAGGGAAAGGTTATATAATTATATCAAAATTTGAAGCGTTTTTGTCAACCCATTAAAGAAACTTTGATTGTGTATCTCCTGGCGGATTGCCAACAACATATACTATAGGTCCTTTTCATGGGCTGTCGAAACAACACACATCCCGTATCACTAAATCCTTGCAACTAGAAAAGGCAGGCTCTTTGCAAATGAGGCCATGTGACGCACAGTGATTGTATTATTGAAGTCCAAAGCAAACAAACTACTAGTACTTTTCCCGTGCGTGACTTACTTTTCTCTGACAATGCGGTACACCATTACGAACGATAGCTGAAACTGAGTGATGCATCTGGCACACTCGCAAACGCCCATTTCCATCTAATGCAAAGTGGTATGCCTTGACCTCCAGACACCTGATCATACAATCCACCTATTGGATAACTTTCCCTACTTCACAGGGACTCCCAGAGGTTGTCCATAAACGCCAAGACATAAGAAATAAAACTCCAAGCCTTTGGTTCCAATAGCCTTTGTCGCCAATGAAGAGTTCAAAAGCTGAAGCAGGGTGGAGCAGGCCACAAGTCCTAGTCGCCGTCGAGCAATGCGTCCATGCCGTTTCGCTCACTTTCAAGGCTCTCCGCTGTGATGGGACCATCAAAGGTCTCTTGCTTCCTCTTGACTTCCTCGTCGTCTTGGTTTGTGAGATCGTCAAACATCTTATTCACTACTCGCTCGTCTTCTTGTGAATGCGGAGCAACATCCCTGCCGTTGAGCATGCCAACGTCGCCCTTGAACACGTCGGGACCAAACATCTCCACTGCCCTCTTACGGCCAACTTCTGTCCGGCGCAAGATGTCAAGAGCGTGACTTCTCCCAGCCTCAGTGTGCAGGTTAAGCCCATCTTCTTGGCCCTGGAGGAGACGTTCCTCAAGGGACATTGAAGAATTTCCGCCGACAAGCTGGGGGCCCGGTGCACCATTGGACATGAAGAGGCCTGGATGAAGTGTTGGGGCACTGTCAATGTCCATGGGATCGTGGTTGCTTCCAATGGATTGGCGGCCCACGTTGCCGTGGGAGGTAGAAGGAGGCGTTGCAGACGATTGTTCCGACTTTCGATTGTGGCCATGTTGAAGGCCAGGTGGCAGCACAGTTGCGCCAGATGCAGAAGTGGCAGCCGCTGCTGCGGCGGCGGCTGCGGCAGCCTCGGCATTCTGGGCCTTCCGCTTCAAGCTGGCAGCCTTGGCCTTCATGTTCTCCGGGAGGTCTTCCGCATCATCTACTCCAAACTGTGCCAGAAGCTTTTGAAGCTTGGTCGGTCGCGGCTTGCGAGTGCTCTTGGAGACCTCAAGAACCGGCGGTGCATTCGGCGCAACGGGGCACCACTTGTGCAACTCTTGTCTGAAGAAATTGGTCTCGTAGGCAAGCAAGATTTCAGCGCCTTCAATCTTCCGCAAGTAAAAGCGCTGCGTGTCCGCCTCAGACTCAGTGGATACCACAGGGTTGCAGTAGCCGGTGATGTGATTTCTGAAGTCCTGAGCATTGTCGATAATCTTGGTAAGGACCTCCTCCTCCTCGGGCTGGAATGGGAGGCTGGGAATCTTATCAGACCAAGCAATGAGCTCTTCGATCTTGGGTCGCGCTGCATCTCGCGGGATCTTGACCCGCCAATCGCAAATGGGGCAAGTGTACTTGTCTTCGTCCTTGACCTTGCCGCGAGCAATCTTCAGACATTTGCCGTGGTACCTAGAGACGTCAGTTAAATAAGCAGATCTTGAAAGCCCACGTCAAAACATACCATTCATGACAGAGCTCGCACTCAATCATCATGCCAGCCTCCACCTTTCGGCAAATGCAAAACACTTCGCGGAACCGAGGGTCCTCCCAGCGGTGCACCTTTTGGTCGGGACTAGCTTCCCTCGACGCGGGCTCGGCGGGCATGCGAGGCTTGTCGTTCACGATATCAAAGCAGTCTTGGTTGCGTTCCAAGACGTAGTCCATGTGGCTCTTGAGAATATGGAGCGGTGCGTTGGTTTTGCCAAATAGCTTCTTACCTTCCCGCATCCAGTCTTCGTGGCGTTTCTGCTCCCGCTCGAGGTCCAAAGTCCCGTTAGGTTTCGAATTCAGCTCGTCAAGTCGGCGCATGATCTCAGCCACCTCTGCGTACTTGGGTCGATTACGGATGTCCGGGTCTCGTGATCTTTCAGTCAAGTCCATGATCTGACGGTGTGCCTCCCTCTGCTTGTAAAGAATTTGATCGACAGCATTCAGGGTTTCCGCAGTGACCGGGAGGAAATTGGCCTGAACCTGCACCGATAAGGCCTCTAACTGTGGGTAGTGGATGACCTCTGCGATAATCAACTCCCGAGCCTTCTTCTCCCATTGTTGACCAGCAGTCATCTGCTCAATGTAGTAGACGAGATGATCGTTGTACGGAGCGATGTCCAATCGCTTTCCTTCTTCGATGAGCTCACGCACTTCATTCAGTGACATGAGGCTGTTGCGGTTGTTACGAGCCTTCTCGCCCCACTTGAGTTGTTCAAGAACTCGCGAAAGTCGGTCGACTTCTGGCGTGTCGACGTTAAATGTCCGGCCCTCCTCAAGTAGGTCTTCGATTTCGGAGAGCTCGGCGAGGTGGATCTGTTCCAGCGCTTTAGCGGCATTCTTTCGGAAGGCCTCGATGGCCTCGACCCGCTCCCTCAGCTGGGTGATCTCAGGGCAGTCAAATCCTATCTGCTCCGCCTCATTGATAAGACGGTACACGTTGGAAACATTGCGCGCATCGCGTTCCTTTTGGTCCAGCGAATTCTTTCGGTTGTGTAAGGACTTTTCGCTCTTGCGCCTGTTTTGCTGCTTCCGGATCGTGTAGTTGGTGGCCTCCTCCACCCACTCGTTGCACCGATCGACAAATTCCCGAAGCAAAGGGAGCGAGGGTAGGTCATGGGGTATTTTCTCACCCTCGTGTAGGAGATTCCGAAGAGTCTTAAGAGAAGGCGTGGCCTCTTCTTCCAGAAGCTTGTCGTACTTCTCTTCCCAGGCCTCTGGCGTACGCGCCTTTTCGAGGACCTTGCTATATGTTGCTTCAATGTCCTCCTCGGACTGTCTGTAAATGACAGCATGTCCTTCGCCGTGGAAGCGCTGGTGCTCGGTTGACTCGCAGCATGGCTGATAACCAGCGTGTGCTAGGCAAAGAATTTTGCCCGACTTGAGGCACTTGAATCTAGAGAGGTACGTAAAGGCTTTGCAATACGAGCATTGATACTCCTCTTCGGGCACGTCCGTATCGTCAATTTCAAACTTCAGAGGGCAGGAGTTGTCTTCTTTGCCAGCCAACGCACAATCGTGCAGCTGTGGCTCGAGGTGCTTTGCCACGAACTCGGTTCGATGCGCGAGCTCTCGTTTCTTGATGCGCTCGAGCGCGGGCGCAAGCCATTTGGCTGTCTGGATCGTCAAGCCGCTGTTTGTCGTACCTTCGGCGGCAGTCCATAACAGCTCGTCGTGCGAGAAACAGGGCTGTCTTCTGAATACCTGCAACCTCTCCACGCCTCCGAGCCCGAAAGGTTCCCAGTCACAAGGGGCAAAGTTGACAGCCTCGTTAAAGTTGAAACCATGGTTGAAGCCGGCGTGATAAGCCTGAGGGAAGGTGATAACGAACTGACCCGCGCGCTGGTCGAGTGCATAAACCCTGACGCCAGCCTTTTTCAGCTGCTCCGGGGTCAACAGGGTGACCAGCTGGAACAAAAGGTCAGGCTGAGTCTCGAACAGCTCAGGAACGGCCTCGCGCATCGCAGCCTCGAACTTTTCGGCGTCCTCGCCAGGAATACCATACCAGGTCTTGGTCGCGCCAAAGTGCTGGTAGTTGGCAGAGTAGGCATAGTGGTCTTCATTGTGCCAGCAGAAAGTCGAGAAGATCATGCCGACATACACCCACGGCACGGTCATGCCAGAGATGTCTGACTTAATGTGCCTGAAAAGACTTTCAGGATGGAGAGGCAGCAGGTTCAGATTCCATGGGTCAGTCGAATAAGGGTTGTTGGGATGTCTCTCGACGGTTGGAAAGCCGGAGCCGTGAGTTGTACAATGAATGTCGGCACCATACTCGACCTCCACAGTCTCCTCAATGTCGGCTACAAGACGCCAGAACTCGGTCTCAACGTCTTCCTCCGTGACTGGACGATGGCAGTTGAGAACGGGGTCGAAGGGCATCTTCTTCTCAAAATAGCCCTGCTTGAAATCGGCCGCCTTCTGCTGGAATTGTTTCAAGGAATACAAGCCGCCTTCCTCGAATCCGTATTGTCCGTCGCCGACCAGACATCTGGGGCAATTCCATTCAGAGTCGGGCTTGTGCTTAGGGGGGGGATCAAGACAGGTGCCGTGGTATGCGTGGTCGCAGGACTCGCAGACGATCAGGGCACCGCCTTCTTCCGCCTTGCCGCACTGCTCACATTTCTGCTTCAAGTCAGTGCATTGGAAAAACAAGCACAATGATGCCTCGCAGCTTACCTCGCCAGGAGCCAAGGCCTCATCTCGAGGTATTCTAGGCACAGAAGGACGGAACAGAGACATGTGGGATCCTGCGACGGTAGGTACAGTATCTGCAAGTCAGTGTGTTAGCATGTGCATCACAGCCAATCATCGTACGGCTGGGGTAAGAATCCATCGGTTGCCTCGCTCAGTTGGGGAACAAAGTCTCAGAAGCCAATGGAATCCTTGTAAATCCCATGCATGTGGTTCATTGCTGCATGCGGAGTCCGCCGTGATGGTCAAGCACAGCTGGCAACGCAGCCACCAACATGGGACGATGGTGCTGGCCAGTATTTGTGGGTAAGGAGGGGAGGGGCTCACCTTTCTTCAGACGCTTACTCCGTCTGCTATTTCCAGCATCTCCGTCGTCCTTGTCTGTTCCAGAGTCTTTCTTTGCAAGATCGAGGCTTTCACAACTGATTTGTCGTTTGAGAGCGGCTGGACCAAGATTTGAAGGCCGATAGTCAGGTGTGTTCTTTGCCGAGTTGACTGGACTGAACGACTTTGGGGGCGGAGTACTAGCCACCTCATCCTGTTGGACCTGAGGAGCAGGCCGGTTGACACTCTTGAAGCCGGAATTGACCGCAGTGAAGCCACCTGTGTTGATGGCCTTGAAGCCCGAGGTAACAGGGGCGGGCGCGGGCGCGGGTGTTGGGGGCGCATCGGCCATAGGAGTATCTCGTTCAGCCTCCTTTTTGAGGCCGTTGATGCTTGCTTGCAGGGCATCTGATGCGTGGCGGGCCGGTGAGTCGCCTCGGGCGCTCGATGGAGTATTGACGTTGGATCGCTTCATCGGAGTGACCGCCGGACTGGGTGTGTAGGGCCCTCCATTCTCGTACTCAAGTTGCTGGTGCACTCCGGGTTTGGCGAGCCTCAAATACTCCTCGTATGGGCAAAGCCATCGCTGGTATGAGTTCTTCAATGAGGTGGACAGTGAGGACATTATCTTGCCGCTGTATCCCAAGTCACGACCAATTTCGGCCCACTTCTTCAGCTTGCAGACCTTGTCAAAGCCGCCGCGAGCCTCGACGGCTTTCTTCAGACGGTACAAGTCGAGAGGCTTCTTGTCCACATATGGAAGACGATGCAGGTTACTGCCCTGCTGCTTGTGAAACTTGGCCAACGCGTCCAGGTACGAAATGTTTGCTCGAGTGCCTAGTATAGTTAGCATTGCCTCCATGCAAGAAACACAAGGCGGGCGGGCGTGACTGACTGCCTTCGACCGAGTTCAACTCCTGTTTACGGGTTCTAAAATGGAATCTCTGCACAGTTCTTGGTCAGTAAGAGCTCACCTCGCATTCGAGCTGGCTGGCTGATAACTTCGCACCCAGGCATCGCCACAGCGTCTCAGCAGGCCTTCTCGGGTACGAGAAGTTGAAAACGAACCTCTGTATCAATTGCAAAGTCCGGGTTCCAGGCATCGGGCGGAATGATCTTGCATAATCCGTAGTTCCTGGCTTCCGGGGAGATTTTCTTGATGTACTCCATTGGGTCCTTCCACTCCTCCTCCGTCGGACAATATGTGGGTGCATCCTCAAGACCATGGGGGCGCGACTTCTTCTTGACCGGCTCTTTGATCGCTGTCGGTTGACCCCGTCGTTCGACCGAGGTGAGTTCTAGAGGAGTGCTTCGCATCGAGCTGAGGGGGGCCTGAGGGTTTGTCGGGTGGTAGCCGTTGGAGTTAACCTGGGCGGCCTTCGACTTGGCCGAGGCAGTATTTGAGCCGACGGCTGGAGAGCCTCGCGAGCTCGCATTCCCGCTTCCAGTGCCGTTGGCAACGGCGCCGCTAGCTGTAGGCGCAGACACCATACTGCAGATAGGGATTGCCGGTAGACCTGTGGAACAGGCACAATGGCAGGTAGAGGTGAACAATGATCGACGGTTTTCGATTCCGTCGCAATTACGGGTATTCGGGTGGACGGCGGATTCCGTGAGAGATCATGCGAGCGAAAGTAGACAGGCGGGCTATGGATATTGTCGCATGACAGATCCTAGAGGTCGATTATTGCAGATGACGATGTAGACGCGGTTCGATCGATCGACAAATTTAGTGCTTCGAGAGTCGTCACTGAATAAAGCGCATCAGACAGAGGCCGGTTGTGAGGGAGAGTATGATCTGGGGGGTGAGCGGGATATGTCAGATATAATGGTGCGGTGGAAAAGCTAAAGGCTCAAGATGCGGATGACCAACGGGGTACCTAGCGGCGACGAGCAAAGAAGCCGGGGGATGGGGGAGGCGTTTGGTACTCACCATGTGTGGTTGCATACGGGATTGAATAGTGATGGCGTACAAGCTGTATGTTGCGAGCGAGAGTCTTCAGCACCTTTTGATGACCGGATTAGGAGAGGATCCGAGTCATGAGGATGGGATGTAGGAGGGAAGCTGGGGTTCGGGGGGAGGAAACGATGTGAAGTGGGAAGTGTGGATAAAGGTGAGGGAAGGGGAAGGGAAGGTGCAGGTGCAGGTTGGTTGTGGTGTGGATAAGGTAGGAACTGGACGGCGGGCCGGGTGGACGGACATGGAAGTGGACGCAGAAGGCAAAGAACCGAATGAACGGGGAAAAGCGAGTACCTACTCCGTACCTCAGAAGAGATGGAGATGGCCGGCAACCTGGGAGGAGAGAGAGGGAACCTCAGGAAAGACCTGGATGCACGGGCAGGTTTGGGTTTGAGGTACCTACCTACTCCGTACCTGGAGGTAAACTTGGGGTGGGCGAAAATGGGTGAAAATGGGTGGAAATGGGACCCGAAGTGAATGTGCTGTGCCGGTGCGTCCAAGAGGAAAATGGCAAGGCTAGGCGCGGCAACTTGCAAGGCAGGTGCGATGCAGAGTGTGGGAGCGGACATGGGCCGTGGACAACATGCATCGGCATCGCATCCGTAGTGTAGCGAGAGCCGCAGCAATTGAGATAATGAGAGCTTGTGTTTTTTTATGATCTTTTCTTTTCAATATTCTGTTTACTGACTCCGTATTGCTCCTGTATAAATAACCGCCACAAAAGTCTAAACCAACAGTAAAAAATGGAGGAAAATACGTGTGGTAAGGTGAGGTAAGAGCTAAGGTAAAGAGGAAAGCGCAAAGGGTGCGACGCAGGCATCGACGGGGACGGAAGTTCCACGGGTCCTGCCAAGGTACCTCAAGTTGAGGAAGAAGGACGACCGTCGAACGGCAGGTGCGAGGGCGACCAAGGGCGGAACGGAAGGGACAGTTCACGTCTGTCGGTGCAAAATCCCACTACAAGTGGGTCCGAACTGGACGTCGGCCACCCACTGGAAGTACCGTATACTTCCTCGGGTGCCTCTTCCATGACGTCCATGGAGTCGCTCTCCCTCCCTCACCAACGGAAGCCTCAGCTGACGAGTGACCTGAACCAACCACAGAAGACCGTCTGTCTACCAATATCATCGTCTGTTCCTGACGACCCCTCGAAACCATACCAGGACCATGCTTGCAGCCAACAATCAATTCAGATCAAACCAAACGGCTCTGTCAATCTGGACGTTCGGCTGGCATTATCTGTCAGTCATGACTTTGCTACAAAGGGAGCGATCCATTAGTTCCTCGGCTAAGCCTCCTGCTTCCCTTTGACGACGGGCGGGAGAGTAAGGTAGGTTCACCTGCCCTGGTGTCATTTTACGGTCATTAGTCCGAGGTACATTGTGGTCCGACCATCCTTAGGTACTCAGGTACATGGCCCCCAATCCTGACATCCAAGTCGGTCGACATGCGACATCAGACACACACACACACTCGCGCGCGCTCGCACATAATTAATCGCAGCGGCACCCGAAGACGTCGCAAATGCCGGCCCATGAATCGTTTGGTTTGGAGTGCACGGCCGTAAAAACTCCGCATCGCCCATGACTGGAAAGCCTGGAATGGCTCTCGATCATCGACCGAACACTCACAACAGGGCCATCCCTCAATCGCCATCCGACATGTCTTCCGTGGTTGGCGCACACCATCGTCTTTCTTATACCCGAGGGACACAAGGCGTTGATGCATCGCCGGCGCTGTCATTTCTGCATCCGATGGGAGCCTTACGTGCTTCAGATGGCATTTCGAGGCTACCTCACACTTGGCAGTACTGTGTTTATGATTCCTCGAGAAGTCATATTTATTGCCTTGCCGAATCTGCACCATTTGTCTCCGATTGCGCGGCTTGTGACAATTCTGCCACTGCTGCATTTCAGTGTTGCGCCTAAACGCCTAAACTCTGCCCTGCCAGGATGGATGCCCTGGCCGAGGTGAATGCCTGGGTCTGAGGCAAGAGGATACAGTGCCACGGACCACGAGACTTTGCTGCACGCCCACTCTTTTCCCATGCACAAGAAACCAACATCTGATATCGCCCGCTGACTCAACAGGGGGACGCCAATATCGATCGCTTAGCGAGCCAATCACGACAGTATGACGTTGGAGAAACCCACCCTGACGTCCCAGATCGGTTCAAGGGCGAGGTTCATCCCTGCTTGCGGGGCGGGCGACTCAGTTTTAGCATTTTCTGATGGTTTTTTTTTTTCTCCTCTGTTCTTTCCTCAGATGACCTGCACGAATTTGACGACCACCGCGGCTGAGTCATCCGCCAACTCTCGATATCGTGACTGAGTATCTCCAGAGCTGATATATTCACGAGCTGCAGTTGAACTTGACTCGACTACATTTGCCATTCTTCAACAGAAATTCAAAGACAACAATCTTCTTTGAGAAAGGTTTGAATCACCTGTACGTCGGGTAAAGAAAGGTAAGCACGAATCGCAACGAACTCCAGCCAACCTCCAGTCCCGAGCAAAATAATAATGGGAAATGAAATTGAAGTTGCTTTGCACTGCTCATCTGTGTCATTGAAAGACTGGTCTCAAGGACGATGTTATGATTCCGGCAGCTTTGGCCAAAGTAGGTTGTATCTTTCTTTTACGTGCCTCAATAGGCAAACCACACAGCCCCCTAGCAGAACTCCATGTATATTATGAAAGCATTCATTGTAGAGCGAGGGATTAAGTAGAAGACGCAAACTATGTAAAGTTACTTGTATTTTCTGCGAGAAGACCCTTAAGGAGTCGCGCCTATAAGTACTATATACAAGATAAGCAGTCGATCTGTAGTAAGTGGTGCCGTTCGGGAATATCCTCAGCCAGGCCGCATGAGGCGTTGCGACAGTCTCTTCAAAGCCCTACAAGCCCAAGAGACTTGTTCCAGAGGTCGCGCTCCTTGTCTGGACTGTACGCGTGAGGAGCATAGCCTGGACCCCACATTCCAGTGCTCGGATCGTGAGGCTCGGAGAACTGACAGTTTTCCAAGTACTTTCCACCTCGGCCCTCCAGGTCTCGAGCTACAGCGGCCAAAACAGTGGTGGCAGCGCCCTGTTCAGGACTCTTGAACGTGCTGACCAAGCTGGTCTCTGAAGACATGGCTGCCATTTGTTCCTCGGAGACGTGGCGTACGAGATCAGTGAATATGCCGCCCGGGTGTACGGCCCAAGCATGTATGCCCTCGGAGCCGTACTTCCTCTCGATTTCGTTGGCAGTCCACAGGTTTGCGGTCTTGCTGGCGGCGTATGCGAGATGCGCATCATATTTGCCCTCAAAATTGAGATCGTCGAGATTGGGTTCGCCAAAGCGGTGACCAACCGACGAAAGGATCACCACGCGGCTAGCCAACTGATATTCGCTCCCAGCTAGTAGGGCAGGCTTGAGGAGATTGAATAGGAGAAAATGGCTGAGGTGATTGGAACCGATCTGAAGTTCGAATCCGTCTTTGGTTCTCCCTTCTGGAGGCGTCATCACCCCGGCGTTGAGGATCAAGAGGTGAAGTTTCTCTTCCTTGGACAGGAATTCGGCGGCACATCTTCGCACGCTGTCGAAGGAATCAAGATCCAGGTCCAAAATATGAACACGACCTGTGTCAAGAAGATCGCCAAGCGCCTTCTTGGCCTTTTCGAGGTTACGTGCGGTGACGTAGACCGTGGCACCTGTCGCGTAGATTGCGCGAGCCGTTTCGACCCCGATGCCGGAGGAGCAACCGGTGATGAGCGCGACCCGTCCAACAAGCTTTCCTTCGGCTTCTTGATCTTTGATAATTTGGAGAGCGGTGGGGCGAGCGTCTCCCGGGCCCGTGGGGGATAGATGGGCTGCGGCGTAAGGGGCGAACATGTTGTCTTTAGAGTATTAAATTCAAGTTGTTCGGCAGCTACTGAGCTTAGCATTTGATTGTGAACGGAGTATTTATGTGTACTTTACTTCTACTTTAGCTCTTAGGACCCGGGGATAAGCTGGCTCTGCTCCGATAAAAATCTCGTTTCGGGTTTTCTATGGACATCTTCGAATTCTAATGCAGCAAAGTGACGCTAAAGCTGTAAGGGTCTTCGATATGCGTAGTTGAATCTATGGAGACAACGTACCGATCAGAAGGCGTCAAGCCAATAGAAGGCCAGTTTCGGGATGGTTGTAAATACCGGCTGCGAAGCTACAATAAGTTGTAACGATTGCAGGCTTGCTAGTAGCTTCACCTCCAGCGCTGATACCACCCGGACTTAAATCATGTCATTGCGAAGTCCGATGGTCGAACAATTACTGTGGAAGTCAACACCCTGCGATGCTAACATCGAAACGTCAACGTCTGTCTTGGATATGCGTCCCGGACTCCCGGGAGCATTTCGTCCCCGGGCTCCCACGAGCATTCATCTTCGCTTGAACACCGATCACCAGCGTCATCTTCTGGGACGGACTTAAGTGTCACCTCCGCACTCAAAAGCCGTTTCTGGGCAGGGCCTGTGGAAAGTCGGGCCTGCTCTTGCAAGGCTTGACCGTAGGTTGAGTTTGGCCAATTTTCTGACTATAATCATATTCCGGTGTTAGCGAAGTCTAAGTGTATGTATATAAGTTAATCACAAGCCTCCAATTTCATCAACAAATTTCTTCCAACTCAACATCAAATCAATTCTCGTTCCTAACCGTCTACCATCTTTGATTGGTTAAAATCCGTTCAACAATGTCATATCTCCGACCAGCTCCCCCGCCGAAAAGTGCCCTCGGGCGCTACCGTCTTCTCTCACCCACTGCGTCTGTGCGTGTAAGTCCGCTATGTCTTGGAACGATGAACTTCGGAGATGCATGGAAGGACTGGATGGGTGAATGCGATCAGTCGCAATCTGAGAAGATGCTCGACTACTTCTATGACCAAGGCGGCAACTTCGTTGATACCGCCAACGGCTATCAAGGCGAGCAATCGGAGCAATGGATCGGGGAGTGGATGATGAAACGTGGGAACCGTGATCAAATTGGTCAGTTGCAATGATGAATGAACTCAAAGAGACTTGGAATAATAGATATAGTTCTGGCAACAAAGTATACGGCTTGCTTCCGCCGCGGCCATGACGACGAGACGTTGGTCAATTTCGCTGGAAATGGGGCTAAAAGCCTCCATACATCGATCAACGCCAGTCTGCGCAAGCTACAAACTGATTACATCGATTTGGTAAGTCCATCATCCGAGTACTTCACAACCGTGTGTTCGACATTCTAATCTAGATATCCTCAGTTGTATGTCCATTGGTGGGAATTCAGTACTTCCATCCCAGAGTTGATGCAATCCCTGAACAAGCTCGTTTCAACGGGGAAGGTCTTATATCTCGGCATCAGTGATACTCCAGCTTGGGTTGTTACCAAAGCGAATCAGTATGCTCGGGATCACGGTCTTGCTCAATTCAGTGTCTATCAAGGCCGCTGGTCTGCGGCGCATCGTGATCTGGAGCGAGACATTGTTCACATGTGTCGAGACGAGGACATGGCCATTGCGCCGTGGGGATCGCTGGGCGGCGGCAACTTCAAGACAGAGGAACAGCGCAAAGCTAGTACCGGCCGAAAGATTCCCCCGAATGAGACCGAAATCAACATCAGCGAAGTTCTTGAGCGCATAGCCATCCGCAAAAACACACTCATCACATCGGTTGCCCAGGCTTATGTTACGCACAAAGCTCCCTTTGTGTTCCCAATTGTTGGCGGACGTTCCGTTGATCATTTGAAAGCGAATATCGAGGCGCTGTCACTCAAATTGACCGATGAGGATATGCAAGAGATCGACAACGTTGCAAAATTGGATCTTGGCTTTCCCTTGAATATGCTGTGGGGTGATAAGGTCCCCGATCATCCAGGAAAGGTTTTTATGCTGTTCCAAGCTGGCACATACGATCATGTGCCTCTTGCTAAGCCGATCGCGCCGGCCCACCAAGGATAATGGTTATCAGAGTTGTTGTCTAAAGTTGTAATAGCCAATGATAGCCAATGACGTCTCGTTCACTTCGATAACTAGATAGTACAATCTAACATGCGTCTCCTGATGTAAGCTGAGGCACATTGTTCCTCTCCACGCCTTAGTAATTAACAGATCTCAATTCATACTACGTTATAACAGACCGCCAGCGTCAAAAGTCCCTCCCAGATGTATTTCTCAGTAAGCAGTTGACGAAAACATCTAGCACGCTATCAGTACATGAACGCTACTATCCTATGCTTTATTAATAATAAGCTGCTTCGCTAACTTGACCTAAAATTTGTAAAGGCATCGGTGCGATGAGAAAAAAATATAAAGTATAACAAAGGCAGGCCGTACGAACGTATATGAATTGAGATATCATAAGCAAGTCAGGGCAACTAACTATGATACAAGGACACAACAATTCAATCTCATTATCTGACCTATAATAGCAGTTCAAGATCGGTGTGGTGTTCCCAAAATGGATCCCGAGATACAACCTAGGAGTGCTTGGCTACGGGTCGAGTACGCTTGTTGTAGATCACATTGGGTCCAACCATATCAGTATGCACTACGGAAGCATGCAAAGAGCTCATCGGTAAGACATGATCTGAATTCATTTCGTCGTTCACATATCTTCTACTATCTCGCCAAAGCCAAGTCGGATAACGACGCTGCCTTAGCTACTGGCGCCTCGGCGTGGTTGCTCTCGGGCCAGATTGGCAATCCAGGCCATGCCATGGAAAAAGGGACTCTGAGCTAGCCGACCCCTTTGTTGCCCATCAAGCCCATGTTTGCAGCCGCAGCTCTCGGGAGCTGGTCGCTGTCTTAGATGGTGGCGTCAGAGTCTACCGGTGTCGCAGATCCCCAGACCGTTACCGGCTTCGTGCCAGCTCAGTGTCTGACCCTTTTCTCGAGCCACACTTGCCGAGCACCGACGCTGGATTATCCGCGTTCATGCACCGCCCGAAGCTATTTGCATCCGGCCATGTGCATCGCGTTGGGCGTAGTTTGGATGGTCGACTTTCCCGAACCAACCTCAACGGTGCGTTCCAGCACTGTCGGGGTGGGTTTCCCAATCGTTGGACTTTAGCCAGAATGCAGCGAACGCGAGAGTGAGGGTAAGCCTGCGGAGGCACACAACCCTCCAAGCCTTCCATTGAGCTTGCAGAATCAGGCAAACGTATTTGCAGGCAGAATCGCTTCTAGATCAAACCCTCAGGGCCCCGAGGAATACTTTCAACACCCCGAATCGATAGCAGGCGAGCTGTGAGAACGATTCGATATTACCGCAAATGTAAAACTCCACTGGTATGACGACAATGCGAAAACTCAACACTGGCCGTCTGATTCGTAGAGACCCAGGCTGACTCGTAGCATTTGGGAGAAACAGGCTTTGCGGGCCGAAAAGATGTTATCTCGCAGATGGATCTTGCAGATCCGTGTTTGACAGAGACCCACGTGGATCTTATCAAGTCTTCGTTCGCCTCTTCTTGACTTTCAAAAGAGCCTCGACTTCTTTCGCACCCCTTTCCCGTAGTGTCAATTCTTTCATCATGTCGACCCACTGAATGTGGCCCCCACATTGTGGGCAACGGCCCTGAATAGGGACGACCACTTCTCGATCCTCTTCGCGGTGGAGCATATGACGACTCCAGCATGAAAGATGCCCAACAGCCTCACAGGACTCGTTTGGACATACAGCGTGTAATCCCTGACCGTGCGGTAGCGCCTCTTTGCAGACTACACAGCTGCCCTCTCTTTCAAAGGCGATGATGGACTGTGCTTTTTCAACGTATGGCTTCAAGTGTGTGTAGTCTACAGGCAAGGCACGGATGCCCCAAGCGACATCGTCTGAAGATGCGGCGGGGTCGGGGCCGAAGTCGGTGACTATATTGAGGGTGTTTCGCAGAGGCTCGGTTGAGTTGGCAGAGGAGGAAACCCATGCTTTGTGTACATCCTTTGCAAAGAAGTGTAGTGTAAGCGGCCACCGACGAAAGCTTGGTACTCCTAACAGGAGCTGAAGATTGGACAATATCGAGGAGAGGCTCGCACGAGGCCGCCGGGGACGCCCATTCTTCTTAACTCCGTTCGAGACGGTGATCCGAGACGTGGAGGGTATATGCAGAGAAAGATGCGGGTTCGTCAACGCCCATCTGTTGTTCTTTGTCAGCACATGGGTAAGAAGTTGAAGTCGATAACGAATGTGAATATCAGATCAAATCAAAATGGTGCAATATGCAAAATCTAGACATGCAAGAGAACCTGAGCATGTGCAAGCTAGGGGGGTGGGGGAATCATCTGAAGCAGAGCACCTTGCTTGAGAGCATGCTTGGAAGCATGATAAGAGGGAAACAGCCTCAAGGTCAAGGTGAATCGTGAACGGGGCGGAGATCATACTCAAACTTTAGAGCAGCAACCATGCCCGGGAAGCCGGATACCAGCCCCACCATCTCCCAGGGCCGTAGGCTTAGACGGGAAGTGCGAGCAGCGCCGCCGCGGGCCTCGCCATTGTGCTGCTTCAGACGGCGCGGGGGGTTGGGCGTCGAGCCGATGTAGAGAGACGCGTGGCGTACGGTGGAACGGAGGATGTACACCGTGTAGAGGGCGGGGATGGGCTTGGACTGGACGGGCATGACTCGGCAGGGGAGGGTAGACGAAGTCAGGACATGTTGTTGTGCGACGTGTTTTGGGATGGAGGGACGAGAGAGAGAGCGGTGCAGACTCAAGACTCAGTGCTTGTGCTGGCCGCCGGGCAGTCTAGACTCGTCTTTTGCTTACGGGCGCATACGTGGACTCGGGTTTGAGCGTGTGTCGGGGCGGTCGGGGTTGGGTCTGTGACTGAGTTTGTCCAGATAGGTGCAGGACCATAGGGCGAACACTGGAGGGAGAGAGAAGAGTATGGGTGACAGGCCAGGACAGGCCAGGCCAGGGCTTGGGAGATGCTTGAACGCCTGTGCTATTGTTGGTGAACTTTGGTGTTAGTTGTGGTGGTTCCGGGTGCTGCTGGCAATGCACGCGGGTCGATGGTACTGCACGGCGCGGCGGCGGCCAGGTGAGAGAGCGGTGTGCGAGGCGAGGCGAGTTGCGTTCCTGCGTTCCAGGTCTGCATTCGAATCCAAGGTTGGTTGAATTCTTGGAGGCTTACCGTGGAGAGCGATGTCGGTCGAGGGGTCGGAGACTCGGGTAACTGCAGGGTGTTGATTGAGAGCGTGGGAGAGAGAGCTTGGAGAGGGCGTGGGAGCGTGGGATGGTCGCGGAGTTTGAGTAAAGTGAATCCCAAGTTTGGGGGGAGAGGGAATTTTTTTGGCGTCAGGGTGACATTCGGCCAGGGACCGACAAATTGGATCTGGTCAGGTGAGAGCGCCAGGTCGGGGGGGTAAGAATGCAACGCTGGTCACGGTGAGACGAATTGACGTGGGTGGTGGGAGTGCAGCAGTGTATAGCAGCAGCAGCAGCAGCAGCAGCAGCAGCAGCAGCCACAGGTTTCTCCAGCTTGGAACATGCAGTGAAGCGCCGTAGCACGAGGGTGCAGGGAAGTTGGAACAGAATGGAAGGGAGTAAGAGATGAAGGTGAGTCAAAGATGGAAAGGGAACCGAGATGGCCACGGAGACAGGATGTTGTCACGACTCACGGAGGAAACAAGCAATCTACAAGGAAAAGTGTCGAAAATGTCAAAATTTGGGGGGCCTACCTAGAACAATAATCTGGGATCCAGTATTGATTCACTTTGGAAATCTGGATCAAATCTGTGTCCAAATTGGATGGCTGACGGCTGCATTGAAAATAGAAATGTTCGGTCGGGAGTTGAGAAGGGGCTAGTCCTGTTTGGGACACGGGGAAGGCTGTGTGGCTGCTTACCTGTTCTCACCTTTGGGCCTCACCTTACCTTACCTTCTTCACCTTGTTTTTTTTCTCTTCCAGTCATGTTTTTCTTGTCGGGGGATGCCAGCATGGGGGGCTTGGGCTTCCATGGGAAGGCGTGGAGGGCCAGCCGACGACGGGAGCAGGGGGTAAGACACCGGGGAAGCTGACCCCAAGTCTTCCGCCTCGTCGTTCCTTCCGGTTGGCAGTTGCACTTGCAAGTATCACCTGCGCCTGCACCTCGCACCTGCACTTTTCCGCACTTTTTGCTCCTGCCTCTTGCCTTCAGTGCCTGCCGTTCCTGTTGTACCTGACGATGCCTCCTGCCCTCCTGCCCTCCTGCCTCCAAAGGGAGGTACCTCCTGCCTCGTACCGTTCGTACCTTCCCTCCCCCAACTGAAGCATCGTCGCCCGGCTTCGTCCCTCGTCTTCCCCCGGCTACCGGACCCCCCACCCCCAATGGAAGGGCCCCAACATTCCCCATGTTTTTCAATTTTAGATTCCCATGTCGCAAAATTTCATCCCGTGATATGCAAAAAATGCCACCCTCGTCAGCTGTGTAGCTTGGGGGTGAAGCTCTCCACGATGTACTTTGTACCTTATCACCATACGAAGAGCTTCCCCAGCTTCCCGCCAGCTTGGGGTCTCGACACACCGACACCAGCACCGACCGACCGCGGAACTCAACTCAACCAACCAACGCTGCACTCCGCAACCGCAATCGTGGACCTACAAGCTCCAAAGCTTCCGTTTAATTAACCACCTGCATGCACTCAGAACTCTTCCAAGCGGATGCGTGCCTGACGATGCCGGTTTCAACACGAGCAGACCCCCCTCCGTACCGCTATTTGCTCGTTATTACTCACAGAACCAACAAACTTCTGCCTTGGCACGCCTGACTACCAAGTGTCACTTGAGAGACCAACAAATGCTTCGTTCAGATTGCCAAGGTGTTCGATGGCAATGGGAATCAATACGAATCGAGGGCACGGGACCTCACTGATGCTGACAAGAGCATAGGTAGATCATCTGCCATTACGAAGAGTTACGCATCCTACGATTACCGAGCCACTTGCGTACACTGCGGATTTCCAGATATGAACGTATTCATCAGAAGCTCGATGGCTGTGCCAATTGGTATCAAGCAAAGTACAGCACTCGGTCATACCAAGAGTTGCGTCAGTGCTGTGACACAACCTGTGCGATAGAAGAGAAATCGAGCAATTGATTGACCGACCTGCGACTGTCGGCTGCAGTTGTGCAGGCCCAGAGGTCAGGGAGCAACGCACCCCAGATGCCCGAGCAAAGATCCCCCCTCTTCAACAAAAACCAAAAGGCCCAGAAAATGATGTGACCGGACGCACCGATGGAGGCTTCCAGAGACACGGACTGGAGCACTGGAGCTGGCACTAGAGCCGTACGGAGACAAACTACGAACGGAGTATCCAGTTCAGTCGTTCCCAGCGCACATCAGTTCGCCTCCTGCCCTACGTCTGGAGACACAATCGCCGCTCAATCCGCATCCGCCGTCACTAACCCACAGAATGCCCGTCAATTGGCGTCTTCCATTGGCACACAATGCCCGTGGCACGCGTGGATTGACGCTGGTCCCTTTGCTCTCGCTGATCCGATGAGGTCTGCCACGTTCGCCTGTTTCCGACTCGGGAGCGAGCAGCAGGAATAGGCACACAGTCACACAGTATGCTGTATCACCAATGCCATTCCTCTCACCCCACGTTTTCGACTGTGCTCTCGAGAGTCTTGACCGAGTTTCCGAGTCACGACAAAGCTTCCCCCCTTGTGCTGCTGCGAGCGAGCAGGCCTTTTGTGTGAGGAACGCATGCGCGAGTGTAAAATGCAGACCACAGCTGCAGCCAAGCAATTAAGCCGGAAGGCTCACTGCTTCGAAGCTATGAGAGCCGAACAAACAGCCACCAAACACACTTGTCAGCTTGTTTCCCTGGCAAAAGCCCGTCGACCGTACGGCCAGAAGGCCAACAGCTTCCTCAACTGACTGGCGTAACGCTTGCAGCTTTACGGCTTTGGGCCTGCCGACCACGGCGTTGGAGGCGTTGAGGATGGCTTGGGTAGTGGAATACGGGTTGCGGCGTACGGCGTGCGGCGTGCGGCTTGCTACCCACACCTCATCTCTAACTTTGGAAGTTAACCAGTCACCTACCCACCCACTGATACCTCAGATCACCCACCTTTTCGCACCGTAAGGCAGTCAGCCTGCAGTTGGTGTGCAGCACCGAAGCACACCACTATGGCAGTTGATAGCCGAACCCGATTGATTCAGAGACGACGCGGCAGCACAGGAAGCACCAAACAAGCACACCACCTCTCGGACTGGGCAATTATCTGCAGTTGCGTGACAACAGAGGCATGATGCTCTCAAAGCTCCGTATGCGCCGAAGACGTCTGGTCATGCCCGGAATACTACCAGGCCACCTGGGCAGGCAACGGCTGCAGACACAAGTATCCGGTCCTTGGGTGACAGCGGCATGCCAGCCAACCAATTCACCACCTGGACACACCGATGGTCACTGAGGGTGTCCTCGTGGATTGCAAAGAAAGCCAGCAGGGGCCAGTCAGCAGTAGCGACCCAAGAGGGGTGTGGGCGCGTACCTGGGCCGGAGGAGGGGACCCCTATAATGGGATTTGGGAGCGCCTCCGAATACGGTCCATCCTTGCCGATCCCTACACAGTAGGCCAAGGGTTCCAAGGTCAATCATGGAGCAGACTGGATCTCGCTGGAGAAGGACTGTCACCGTCGCTGTTCGAGACGTCAAAATTCCCTGTCCTGGACCTGCTGCCAGCAGACGCACGCAGATGACCTTCCCTCCTGGGTTACCCTCAGTCCCTGTTGGTCTCTGTCGATTGCTGGGCATATAGGACAGCTGGGGATTATGTTTCTGTCTATCTAGAAGCTGTCGACAGGCCGCGAGGGAACGACTGAGCACCTGGAGTGATCTAGACCACAGTCTACTGTCCGCGGCCGCTGCACGTTCTATGGCGATAGACCGACAGACCGATAGGCCACCCTCCACTAGCATTCAGCACACAGTCCGGCCATGCACGTTCGCCCTAGAAGAGGAGACGACCCGTGGGGGTGGATGAAGCAGGGCGGCAGGCGGATAAGGTGAGTGTGCCGTCGCACTAAGAAAAATCTTTTTTTTCCTTCCATGAAATGGTGGGTGGAGGTGCCGTGATTATTCTGGACCCGGGTGACTGTTCCCCCCTGGCTCACTGAAAGTTGAAACTAGGAAGAGTTGGAGCGAACTCATTTGCCTCACCGCCGCCGCGCTCGACCCATGGCACGCATAGCTAGCTTTGTTACCGAATAGTGAGTGTGGAAGTAAGGTGAGCGTGGTGAGATGGTGGCAGGTGCTAAAGTCCTATTTCCAGCCCTCAATGGCCTCGATGCCCAGCCGGCACCTTCACCTGTCCGCCTGTCTGTGTGCGATCTGAGCGAGAGGAGTCAAGAGTCAAGACTACAGAAAGAGAGAGAGAGAGAGAGACGTATCTTTTCTATTTCCTGCGAGACTGCCCCTCGTCTCGTCCTGTCAAACACCATCTGAGATGAATCTCTACTTAAAATACTGTGTTCGAATAGTGAACACGAATATCGATACGTACCTTGCCGCCCCTGCCGCTCGCTGCCAAGTCCGGCTCGCACATCCCGCTGCAATCAGAAGTCTGGACTCTTTTCCATCTTTGCTTCACTTTCACTCCGTGGGACGGTCTGGGAGAAAGCCGCTGAAGGGACTTGGGTGATCCGTGTGCCACACACACCGAAAAAGACGAGAGAGAGAATGAGAGAGGAACAGTGTGACAGTGACAGGCACACAGGTTACCAGTGAGAGAGTCGGAGATAAAAGTGCCAATTGCTGCTAATAAGCTTGCTTCCCAGGGGGGGGGGGTGGATACTTCACGTTACTGTGTATGCAGAGTGGAGGGGTCCCGGTCTTCTCAATCTACACGCCCCCACCACTTCCATCATACACCACCCACTTCTCCCACGCCACGCCACGCCCCCTGCCCTGCGGTCTACGGCTTGCCCTTGAGGTGGTTGTCTTGGCTTTTTATTCCAATGTACCGCCTGAAAGTACCCGACTGCCCGTTAAAGAAGCGTTGCTCCTCCGACTCAGCTTGCTTCGATTCTGTCATTCTCACTCCGACAACCAACTCAACCTACTTCGACATCGATTCAAGACCATCGACTACGCCCATCTTAGACACCTCAACCGGCTTTTGTCTAGATAAGAATTCCACCCTGATGACTGGAATCTCGTGCTAGACGCTTTCTCCACAACCTTCGATCGGGCATATATCACCTAATGACCATTATCGACCTGGTTCTTCTTCGACAGCCTCTGCAAGCTGTCACATAAAGAAGTGAACTTCGACGACGCGAACCCGCCGAAGACTATCTTATCGCAGCACCTTTTGGACAGAGATCCATTCTCTCAACCCTCAAATACACCAACACAATGATCCCCAGAGGTCTCACTTCCGCCTTCGGGACCCCGTCCCTGGAGATCGGCCAGATCCTGCTCGGCAATGCCAGTCGATACACCATTCAGAAGAAGATCCGTGAGGGCGTTTGGATTGCAACGTAAGCTTATCAAAAGCCTGGACTTCCTAAAAAGAACAAAACGCTAATCATATTTCCAGTAACCCCATGGGTAACAAGTCCATCGTCAAGGGTGTCCAGGGTATCTCTGGAGCCCAGAACGAGCACAATGTCCTCCGCAAGTTCCAGGGCAACCCTTTCCTCCGCCCTGTCATCGACGAGATCCAGCAAGATGCCCCGATGATTGTCCTCCAACACATGGACGACCACCTCTTGAACGCTACCATCAAGAAGCCTTTGACCAACCGCGAGATTCGATTCGTCGCTCGCGCTGTTCTTCGCGGCCTCTCCACCCTCCACAAGGATGGCTACGTCCACACTGATATCAAGCCGGATAACATTCTCGTCAACTACGCCTCGGCTTCCGAAGCTGACCCCGACCTTCGCTTCTCTGACGTTCAGATCGGTGACCTCGGGGCTTCCTACTCGGTTGACTCTGACGTCGCTACCAAGGGTTTCCTCATCGGTGCCCCCATCTGGACCAGCCCCGAGGTGCTCATGGAAGTTCCCTGGGGAACTGCCAGCGATATCTGGGCCTTTGGCTCCATGATGATTGCTCTTCTCCACGGCGGCGACTACAACCCCTTCCGCCCTACCAACGCTCGCTACCACGACCGCAGCTACATCTTTGAGGTCCTTCGCCAGCAGTCCCGCCGATTCGGTGCCATCCCCGAGACGTACCTCGAGCGGGCGCGTCCCGGAAAGGCCATGGCCGCCAAGGCACTGACTGTCGGGCGCAAGGTTGAGCCTCTCGACTTCCGCACTGCCTCTCACTTTATCAACCGCATCATGCGCATGGACGCCGCCGAGCGCCCTACCGCTGACCAGCTTCTCGAAGAGATGTCTGGTCTTTTTGAGGACTAGATCCCAAGACCATCGACGGTCATTTACGATTATTGGAGACGAATGACGGACATCCCACAAGGGATAAACAGCGATTTTGTTTTTTCTTTCGTGTACCGGCAAGCGGACACCAGCATTATACACACCAGGGGAAGAATTACAGGACAGAACTTAATGAGGATGAAAAGCGGCGGAAGCCATTGAGCTCCATTTCCTTTGTGTATTTGGGACACCTGGATACTACAGGCGGGGTTTCTTGTCATTTTCAGCAGCGACATTTGGATATCGCCTGAACGGAATTACTCGGGGGTTTGGGTTACACGGTCAACATGGAAAAAAGATCGCAAAGGGAAGACAAAAAAGGTACACAGGGCAACTGGGGGAAAGCGAATGTTCATGGAGCGATGAAAAGAAACCACCCAGGCGGTACTGTACAAAGAGATAGATGCCTCAGAATGGGCCATACCACATAGACTAACACCCCATATATACAGTGGCCTCAAGGACGGCTCACTTTGAAACCATACACAGCTTCCGCTTTCATCAGTGACATCTGGGTACGCTAACTGTTCTACGTCTGCATTTACAGTTTCTGGGTTACTGCTATGGACAGGCAGAAGAGAGTGTTTTACGGGGTTTTGAAGACGATAGGATTACTCAACCACCCTTTTAAGGGGCGGGGCACTACTTGCTTTTGTTCCACGTCTGCATGCTCAGTGCAGTCGAAAGGTCCGCGACGACGGTTTGGGGAGAACGCTTCCAGTACTGCGAGCATAGTATTGCTTACAGCTTCTGGCATTAGATCTGAGAGATGATGTTAAGGATACCATTGGAGACAAACTCTGCAAGTGCCGAGTCAATGGCTAAAACCGTCTTGAGCAAGGAAGTTTATAGTTTCGCAGATATTGGGGATATTTGGACGTATATCCACGGTTGTTGCTGGTCTCTAACGAAGGCTCACGCCGCCGTCAAGAATCGTTGCTCATGAGGTTCCTCAAAGATATCATTTCTATGGCTGTAATCGCCGCAATAAGATTATCGCTCATCCAAGTAAACCTCGATGTAAGTCTTTTTAATTTCTACATTTTACAATGTCCATAGCGCGCGTATTGGAATCAACGCGGCTCCCTGTCCTTTGAAATACTTGTACACCACGCCGGACCATCTGATCTCCTTTACCCCTTTTACTTCCTTCTTCAGAGACCCCATATTTACAAAAGACCCTGCTTCTGCAAATCGTAGTACACCTTCTCAGGCATGACATTTCCTTCAGCGTCCTCCATCTGCACCACGCTCCCCTCGTCAACCTTAGTCTTCTTGGCCTCCCGCTGGATCTTGTCCCACAGATTCACCGCCTCCTCGATGCTCGTGATATCGCGGAACAGACTGGTGTTCGTGATACCGAGACACCGCAACCCGTGAACGTGCCGCGCCTCGTTGAAGTGCTTGTCAAACGCCCGCCGGCCCATGTAGACAAAATTACCGCAAATCTCGCAGGGAAACTCGACGCCCAGACCGTGCAGACGATACAGCCAAAAGGGGATCGGCTTGCCGTCCCACGCGAGCGGCAGCTTGAGCGGGTTGTAAATCTTCTCCTCGCCGTCCTCGCCGTCCTCGTCGTCGTCTTCGCCGTCCCCGCCGCCGCCGTTGTGGTGCGCCACACCGCTGCCGGGCGCAGAGTACGACAGGTTCATTATGTTTTCCAGCTCCTGCTGGCGCTCGCGCTCCGTCATGCCCTGTCTGCGCTCGACGTTTACGCGCGTGTCGCCGCGCTCCGTGCTCATTGCTGCCGCGAGGCGTTTGACGCGGTACTCGCGCTCCGCGATGGCCCGTTCCTTCAGCCTCGTTGCTGATACCTTGTTTGTGCTGCCGAGGGTTTCTTCCTCGCCTTCTTCCTCGCGGCGCGCTTTCCTTGCCTCGGCGGCCTTGATGTGCTTCCTGCCCGTCATGTGTGATTTGTAGACGTTTTCGTTCTTGAACTCCTTTTCGCAGTCGTCGCACCAGATGGCGTCTGCTGAGCTGGTCTCCCGTGCGGTACCATTCGCGCCGCCGCCGCTCGTCTCCTTTTGCCAACCCGAAACCTCGTCCTTTTCCCACGCCGCCTCAAAGTCGCCGTCGAATCCCAGAAACACCTTGTCGAGGTTCTCGAGCGGCCGCGTGCGCCGCATAAAAGACTCCAGGTACGACGCCAGCTCGCCGACGTATTTGAAGTACTGATCCGTCAGCTTGTCGCCGCGCTTCAGGCCGCCGTACCCGGGCGCGAAGTTGTCAAAAACCTCGAGGTACTGCAGGTACGACAGGCGCTTTACGTTGGGGAGGTTGAGGTAGGCCTCGTGGGAGGTGTGCAGGTCAAAGAAGCGGCCGAAGCCTTCCTCGCCGGTGAAGAGGCGGTCGACAATGTAGGGCATGACGTCGCCGTCATCGGGCTTCTTGACGCGGTACCGCACCTCCGAGTTCTCAGCCTGTTCGTTTGGGTATTTGGCGTGATGCTCGCGCGCCGTCTTGAGCTGGCTGTAGAACTCCTCAAAGGGGTCCCCGGTGCCGATGGTCTGGATCTCGCGGCTGCGCGAGCCGTCGGCGTCGCGGTAGATGTCGAGGAGCTTGACGGACTGGGATTGGATCTGGTCGAGCAGCTGACCGATCTCGTGGTCGCGGTTCAGGCGGTCGCGGATGTGTTTTGGTTCTTCGCTAATGCGGTCTGCGATGCCCTGCTCGAGGCGCTCGAGGTCCTCGTGGAGGTAGCGCTGCTCTTCGATTACGCCCATTGTGTCGTCCTTCGCCGCTGTCGCGCGCAATGATGGTCTGGGGGGAAGAGAGCTGTGCTGGACTGAGCTGTTGCCGATTTCGGGTTCAGGATGAAGGCTGAGGGGACGAGGCTCTAAAAAAATCGAGATCACAGCCTTTCTGGATACACATTTGCTGGTGAGCGGTCCACCGAATAAGGTCGCGCGTTAGCTTTGGGTTTTTTTGCGATGGCAAGCTGCTCAGGCACTCAGCGCACTGTGGAAATCAGTTCAGCCCTGTGGTAGAGCTGGACAGATTCTCACGGTGTCGGCACTTCTGATCTTCCGCCCCGAGCTCTACCGTGGGACGGGAAGACAGACTTTCAGCGCTAGGTACAGCGAGTGGCCACTGACAAGCAGTCGCGCTGTAGAAGCTTCAGCGCGCCCCTCTAAAATTTCCATCGATCTGCTTGTACCGTTTGCCTGCAAACCATCCACCACCACGCACAACATCGCGACACATCGTCTAAGCAGTACCATCACTCGCCACACCACCCGACAAAACCATCATCATGGCGGAAGGAAGCGGAATCGATCGCAAGGCGGAGGAGAGGATGGAGTTTTCGACCTCTAAGGAAGTGACGGTCCACCCGACCTTTGAGTCCATGTCCCTCAAGGGTAAGGCTGTCCAGCACTGTCACTACACAT